TTACGCCTTTTATTGGTTTCGGCTATCGCCGCAGCTGCGCCGGCTTTGCGAGCTGTTGCTCTCACGTGAGATGGGGCAACAGTGGCCACGCATGTGGCATCCCACACGAGTGACCATCAGAGAGAGTCATACCATCGGGCCTCTTGCCATCGTCCCGGGCGATGCCATTAGGGTTCAACTCAAGCACTGCTGACACTCCCTGTTCACATATAAAAGTAGCCATGCCACATCTCTTATCTATTAGACAAGTCCGTCCGTCCGTCCGTCTGTGGTGCTGTTTCAGCGGCCAAACCGTAAGAGATAGATGAAGAGAATGTTTAAGTTATAAGTTAAGAATAGTCTGATAAGACTACAAACCGGAACGTAGCACTTCCGGTTTTCGAGAAATCACGAATTTCAAACGAAACCACACAAAATCTCCGAAGTTCTCAATTAATTAAATACATTGTTTTTTTTAAATCAGGTTTTGGTGAACATTTGGTTCACTGGTTTGCTAGTATTTTGACTAATTTGTGAAATTTGTGGTGAAGTACATATATATATGAATATTTTTCTCGTTTTCATAGTCTAAAATGATGTAATACCTATGAAAGTACATCACGTTTACATCTAATTTACAACTCCACAACACTTTGAGATTTGAACGTGATAAAAACTTGTTAACAAAATACAACAACTGCAAATTGCAAATGTCAACACGTATCATGTATAAGCATTTTTCTCGCTTAGTAGGCATTAATTTAACATCTACTAATAAAAAGTCACAACTTGCCAATCCGAACATGATCCATTTTTAGAATTATGCCCAAGAAAACAAACAATCTATTGAACAAACAGATTAGCATAAAATTACTTGAGTATTCAATACTTATTCAGTTAAGTAGAAGCGGACATAAATAGCATTTAATTATCGAGTATTTAAATTAATCGTATTATTGAGATCAATGTTACAAACACAGAAAACCGGTTACTTGTATTAATTAAAACTTACGGCTACCTTTTAACTTAATGACTCGCGGTTGTGTTTATTTAAAGCAGGTATTTAAATATTTACTTAAGCTTCTTTAATAAAAACGTGTAAATATAAAATCAATTTAAATTAAATAAATGGAATGCTCTGCCCGCTCACGTGTTCCCTCCCTCTTACAACCTGCGATTCTTTAAAAGAGGCGTGAAGAAGCAACGTGCAGGCAGGGTGAGGATGGCTGGTGTGGCAGGTGGAACTGCTGTACCAGCTATCTTCGCATCTGGACTTCACCGTCACTTAACATCAGGTGGGGTAGAGTCATTTGTCGGACCTAGCTGTAAGAAAAAAGCTATTTTTTACATTATATAAGCGCGTGAGGTCTTTTTAATTTATTTTTATTATCATTTATTTTTAATATATCTTTACAGTTCACTTGAGATATTTCAGATATACAAGATTCGTTTCACGTCAAAATTATAAAATATTGAAGTTACATTAAAGACCCTGTATGATTCTTTGAGGTTGAGATTATAAATCGATCTATCTATACTTATAATAAATCTGTAGAGAGGTCAATTCTGTACATGAAATATATTTTCAAAATAACTATCAGGGGGTGATTAGTGATCGATACTGATGCCAAAAATGCAATCAGTAAAATTTTTGTCTGTCTGTCTGTGTGTATGTTCCTTATAGAAACAAAAACTACTCGACGGATTTTAACGAAACTTGGTACAATTATTTTTCATACTCCTGGGCAGGTTATAGTATACTTTTCATCACGCTACAATCAATAGGAGCAGAGTAGTGAAGGGAAATGCTGGGAAAACGGGAGAAGTTACTCCTTTTTTTAAGCTTCCGTCGCGTGTGCAGCCTTAATGGTTAAAGTTACATAGAAATCATGTATGACGGAAATATTTAACATAAAATTGTCTAAAAAATATCCCGCAACAGCATATGTCTATCTTTTATGGTTGACTCACAATAACACGTGTAACTCCTGATAGCTTAGCAGTTCGGAGCATTCTGATTATATTTGTTTACTCTTACGTTTATAATACTGTCACTCATCCCTAATTTAAAAAAAATAACATTATTACCTATTCAATAAAAAAAGAATCATAGAAATCTGTATATAAACACCAAACTTATACATGAAATAAGCCATCGCGCCGTCGCACGTGAATACTGAATCATGCTATAAGGATTATTTTTGTGTAACGTTTGAAAACACTGATAATTTTAGAGGTTTTTAATGTAAGGTCGTAAATAAACACAGTTTTTCCGCTTACATTGCAAACGCTGGCTGAACCCTACGAGATCGATCAAAATATTGTACTACAGTATTGTATACCTTAAAAATGTCTACAAAAAAGTCCGCCATGGTATCTGTCTATCTCTTAGGGATAACCCACAATAACCATTTTATATCCTATACTTTTTACGAGAAATAATAGATTATTTACGAAGCGATTTTCAGCAATATAACATTCTTCCTTATCCAATTCAGTACCTTAAATACATTGTGCATTTAATATAGACCAATTTGGCTATTTAACACATGTAATTTAAATGAATATTTTCGAAGATATTACAGATTTAAAATGCAGGGACATAGCGGTTCCGACGCTACCGGGCGGGGCACCTGGTGGCGCATGCCTATTGTAATTAGGTATTAGAAGAATGTCATTGTGTATAATACAAGTCTGAGAACAAAAACTATAGTCTACACTACAGCTCTACACCGAAGCGAAGCGCGGGCGGGCCACTAGTTTACAATAAATCTATTACTAACTTGAATTGATTTACAATTATTAACATATTTTTATATGCATATTGGTCTCTTATTAATTTTAATAATATGAGAACTTGAACAAATTAAAATAATAAATAAATATTTCTAACACACACCAATTAGCCTAGCCCCAAAGTAAGCACTGTAAGGCTTGTGTTATGGGATACTAGGGTAACGGTTAGAATACATATATGGTACATATATAAGTATATTTAGATAGAAATACATATTAAACATCCATGACTGGAGTACAAATGATCGTATTCATCACACAAACATCTGCCCCCACCAGGGTTCGAACCCGGGACCTCTCGAGTCGGCGTCACCATGAAACCCGTTGTATAAACCGCTCGGCCATGGAGGTCGTCAAATTAATCCGATCTATGAGAAAATTTAATAAAAATACCACTTATTTCGCCCAATTTTTCTCCGCAACAAAAAATATTTTTTGTTTGCGTTTTATACAGGTTCACTCAATTTTTTTTTGTTTTTAGTAAGTAAGGTTGCGAGCGGTGGTAAGTTTAGTATTTCTACGTTATCACGGTAAAGGAATTGAAGTGGCATGCTACAAGCGTTAAGAGCTATGAATAGACTAGAATTCTAATGAAAATATTACTAGAAAAAAAACCACGTCTACCAGGCAGCAAACGGGAATCGAACCCGCACCCTTCGCTATCCGGGCGAAGGCATTCACCAAGTGTGCTAACACGGCCCTGATGGCCGTGTTGAATTCTTTCTAGCCTTTCTTAAGCTGCAAGGCAGCGCCATCTCTTCGCATTGTAGGTAACCCACAATGTAATCTTTAGATTTAAATATCGAGCAGTTGCATGCTTAAAAATTAAATTTATTACTAGGCAAGAGGAGCTCGATGGCGCAAGTGGTTAGCGCGTTCGGCTGCGATCGTTGAAGTTAAGCAACTTTCGCAGTGGTCGGTCATTGGATGGGTGACCAAAAATTACTATCTCGAGCTCCTCCGTGCTTCGGAAGGCACGTTAAGCCGTTGGTCCCGGCTGCATCTGCAGTCGTTAGCACCCACCTATCCGCACTGGGCCCGCGTGGTGGGTCATGGCCCAATCTCCCTATTCCATCCATAAGGAAGGCCTGTGCCCCAGCAGTGGGGACATTAATAGGCTGATGATAGTCATCATCAGGCAAGAATTATTTCTTAATTTTATAAAACACATATAAATGCCTCGAATAATCAAAATAAAAAGAAATGCAAAAATAAAAAACCGACTTCAGAAAAACAACTTCAATCTAAAGTACCTATCTTTACACATAAACTTAAAATTTTACATATTATGGACAAATTATATTATCTGTAAACCTACCTATATATTCAAACAATACTTAGGTACCTACCTTTTATAAGTTTATATTCAAAGATTACGATTTAAATCTTTGTTTATATCTACTAATAATTATTATTAATATGAAATTTACTATGTTGTAATTCGCACAACTTGTGCAAATACAATCATATAAGACAATATCTTTTAACAGGAATTGTGAAAGTAATTAAACAGATGTGTTGCTTTGAAAACAAAGATTTTATTTAAGTAGCTAGAAACAATTACTATTCAGTCACGGTAATATTATCGCGGCAACCGTTGTCAACTGTCCGCGCACCCGCAAGGTAGCACCAAAATTACGGTGCTGTTACCGTACCAAAATTACGGTACGGTACCAAAATTACTCGATGATTTGGTCAAACCTTCATTGGTCGGAGTTTATTCCGTGCGAATTAAACTGACGCAGTAGATGTTTCTGTATGTAAAATTGCTACTGCGCAGGTTGCATTGTCTATACCTGGCGGGTGCGCGGCCATTCGGAGACGGGTTCCGCGACCACACCCGCCCTCTCGGCATGCACTAGGTGGACCGCGGTCCTCATAGTGCGTGTCGGGTGACGGTACAGGAGTATTGTCTGGTTTTTAGTGGCCCTGTTTAGGGCGTAGGTAGGGCCCTGTTCACATCAGCGTGCTCCAAGGCTGGCTGAAGAGGACAGGGAGGTGTCCCACATACCTTCTTCTCGCTCCCCCAGTGGTTAAAGGATGTGTAAGGCATTTTCCAGACACAATAAAAAAAAGAGGTTGCATTGTCTATGGTCGATGTTCAAGAAGTTTGCCGGGGTGTTTACCTAGATTCAATTTTAGGTAAAAAATATTGGGATTAGCAAATTTGGCTGGCGCTAGTAGTTATTAATTTAATCTTCCATTACATTGTATTCTTTCAGAAGATGTCTGTGATCCTGGTGTTCCTGAGCATGGCGCTGGCGGCAGAGGCTGTGCCCGCCAACTTCTTCGAGACCATCGGCGGCGGTATCGCCAAGGAAGCCATTGCCGTCAAGCAACCGGTGCTGGAGACTGTCGTGGACATCACTTTCAAGAAATGTACGTCATCATCATCATATCAGCCGTACGACGCCCACTGCTGAGCATAGGCCTCCCCCAAGGATTATCCTCTTCTTATACAATCGAAGTTTTCAAAATAATTACAAGTGGCCAGTGTCATAAGGGGGCGTCCATAAATTACGTGAGATGTTTAAGGGGAGGAGGGGGTCGAGTCAAATCTCATGTAATCTTACGTTGGAGAGAGGGGGGGTCTCGGCAAATATCACGCAATTTTTTTTCACAGTAGTATCTATTAAGTATTCTATTGTTAAATTTTTATTACACTTATAACTCTCATCAATATTGATTACTAGTCTTAACTAGTCGTAAATAAAAGCACGAAGCATTTATTTTCTTTTTACAATAACAATCCAACGCGTTTACGAAAGAAACCCACATTTTGAAAAATCTGCATTGTAGATCAATGCGAAGAGATGGCGCTGCCTTGTAGCTTAAGGCTAGGAAAATTTCGACGCGGCTAATAGGGCCGTGGTAGCATAATGGACAGTGCATTCGCCCGGATAGCGAAGGATGCGGGTTCGAGTCCCGTCCGCTGCCTGGTCCGCGTGGATTTTTTCTAGTAAACTTTTCTTTAGATTTAAGTAAGAAGCTCTGCTAGAGACTATAAGAACTTAAGCCATCTTCTTCTTACGTTAATAGTCTTATGATGATTATATTTTATTAACTCAAATAAGACCACACGCCTAGATCAGGGCGCGCTACCCACGGGACTATAAGCCGTTTTTTGTGATAGTTAGAGCATACTTTTGTATGAAGAAGTTTAACCATAGATTAACTTGGCGAAATGATAGGTCATTTCGCCAAGTCTCTAGAGCCGTAAAGTTTTAAATAGCCCGCAAATACTGCTTATGCGGACCCCTCACGTTTTTATTTTATTGCACGCAAAAGTAGGGATGTCGAAAGTTGAAAAAAATATCGATATATCGATACATCGATCTTTTAAAAAATATCAATATCGGCTTCGATATATCGCGAAAAAAACATCGATATATCGATATATCGGACCAATTTTCCCAAAAATATCGTGCAGTAGCTCACGAAATATGACACGCGGAATAATAATGGAACGAAAATTATCTCCCTAAAAATAGACCCTATTTTCGAATGATGACATAGACCAGTGGTTCTCAAACTTTTTAAATGACGGAACCCTTTTGGGAAGCAAAATACTTGATGGAACCCTACAATAAAACAATTATTTTTATAAGTGTATTCTATATTAATCAGCATAATAAAAGTACAATGTATCCGTTACTAATTATTATTTACTTCACCACTTGGTAAGGACAATAATAGAAAACATTAAAAAAGAAAAAATCTAACTAGTGGGAGGTATGAAACTGTTTTTTATTTTTCATCAATTGCTTGATATCAGGTTTGATGGAAGAAAGTTGGAGTCTCATATCAGCTTCGGCGTCCAGTCTATTGCGATATTTTGTTTTCGTGGCTGCGTAGGTAGAGAATCCTGTTTCGCACAAATATGTAGTTGGGAACGGGAGAAGAATATCCAGAGCCATTTGGCCAAGCATTGCATATTCATCTTGGATTCTGCACCAAAAATCATTAAGAGGCGTCGTTTTGAACAATGACTCCATACTTGTGTCTGATGACATTTCTAAAAGAGATTCATATATCTCATTTGACATGTTTTCAGGCTTTTCCAAGTTGGGTAAAAAAGGATTATGAATCCAGGAGTTCACTTTAATTTTTGTATTGTGTTCTTCGGGAAAATACTTTTCAAAAGATGCGCGCATCGAACTGAGATATTGGACCAATTCTTCAAACACATTATCTTCAAACATTTCTGAGTCGTTTTCGCTAACAAACTCAGTGAGTAACGTAAAACTTTCTATTTCTTTCTTACCAATGCAAATGATCCAAAAATCTAATTTTCTTTTAAAAGTAGTTATTTTATTATAGGCCTGAAACACTGTTGTCTGTTTACCTTGCAATGATAAATTTAATTCGTTAAGTTTTTGAAAGATATCCGCCATAAAAGACAATCGGAACAACCAAGTTTTATCATACAAACGGTCCTTCAAATTAAAAGAAGTATCTGCTGAAAGAAACATTTGTAACTCGGCTCTAAGTTCAAATAGCCTTGTTAAAGTTTTTCCCCGAGACAGCCATCGCACTTCTGTATGGAGCAGCAGTGTTTTATGTTTGCTGCCATAATCTTCACACAATAATGAGAACAATCGGGATTGTAGTGGTCGTGATTTGATAAAATTAATTATTTTTACCGCTTCATCCATAACTAATTTTAGATTAGACGGCATTTGCTTCATCGCAAGTGCTTGTCTATGCAGAATACAATGACTGGAACTACAATTAGGCGCTTTATTTTTCATTCGTGACACTGCTCCTGCTGTTTTACCTGTCATCGCCTTGGCCCCATCTGTACAAATGTCAATGCAATTGTTCCAACTGAGATTATGTTCTTCAAAAAATATATTTATTTTATTAAAAATTTCTTCCCCGGTAGTGTTTGTAAGCAGCGATGAACACATAAGCATGTCTTCTTCAAAAGAACTTTTATATGGATATCTCACAATAACCAGCAGGATAGCCAAACCAGCGACATCAGTCGACTCGTCCATTTGCAAAGCGAATCGTGTATTTTGTAGACGTGTAACTAGTTCTTGTTTGACGTAGCTTGCCAGATCATGGATTCGTCGTGAAACAGTATCGTTTGATAGCGGAACAGTAGAAAGATGCTTTGCAGATTTTTCATCAAGCATACATTTTGTTATGTCTAATACACATGGTTTTATTAATTTCTCAGCGATAGTGTGCGCTTCACCTGCTTGTGCAATGCGATAGCTAACTAAGTATGATGCCTCCGTGGCCTTTTCGTTGGTAGTTTGTGTTACATGCATCATATTTTTTTGACTTTCTAATAACTGATCTTTTTTGCGAACAAAAAATTCTTTATTCTTGTCTTTAGTCTCGGGGTGTACGGTTTCTAAATGTCGACGCAATTTGGCAGGTGCCATGGAACTATTAGGAAGCAGTTTACTACAGAGCATGCAGAGAGGTGAGCCGTTGGAATCAACAAATCCGAAACTGATATAAGATTCATCATACTTCCTTTTTTTCGTCTTTGAAACCGTCGAGCTTGACGTCGTGGCACTCGTGGCATCATCTTCTGGATCGGTGATTGCTAAATTCTCCGCGCGCATTGCTTTTGAACATTCAGCGTCATTAGAAGATGTTGTTGGAACACGTTTAACACCTTTAAGCCAACGTTCCATTCTTCTTTATTTATAATGTTACAAGTCAGGATAGTGGGGTTTAAATAATGCACAATCGTTACTGCGTATAAGAGACTAAATTTAGAACCTACAGGGAAGAAATGTATAAAACTGAGACAACAGAATACAGCAGGCAGTAAAACAATGAACACCAGTTTCTCGCTAGCGAGCTTGTAAGTAGGTAGTAACTTATCGCTCCGAACGCTAATCATCAACTGACGACGCCAACGCGCGATCGCCGCTTTTATACTTAGTCCTAGACTCGATCTCAAATATTCTCGAAAATACTCGAGTCGGCACCTTTGATAAACAAAAAGCAAAAATAAAAACAGAAATTTAAAAATAGCGTTGTAAACAATATCGACTTTATCCTTTGAAGTTAGAGACGAAAGTCGCTAGTTGACAACTATAGCGTCTAATTCAGAGGCGGCTTTTATCAAAGAGACTGAGCGCTTACAAGTATACTACCCGCTCGTTTTAAGTTTGCCGCTGGCGATAGGTATGAGTGTATGACGTTCGAAATTTTTTATTTAATTGTAACAATAAAAATTGTGTACGTTAGATATTTGGGTAAAACTATGACACATTATAAGTTTTGTTGTCACGTGGGGGAGGGTACGCGCATTCCACAGACCGGCAAACTTAGAGCGAACGCGTTGTACAAGTATAAAATTGTTGAGACCAAACTTATGAGATATTGTACCAGCTAATGTAACACAAGCTTATACAAATACAAATAAATAAATAAATAACATTCATAGCGTTTTGTCTCCGCGCGGCCGCGGAGTCCGCACAGCCGCGGAGCGACCAGAGAGAGGTGTTTTGATTTTTTTATTTCTAAATTCTTGCGGAACCCCGACAGAGGTATCACGGAACCCTAGGGTTCCGCGGAACACACTTAGAGTATAGCTGACATAGACAATACTAAATAAAGCACAGATCATAGATATGTTGAATATCATTAATCTGAGATCCAGTTACGATTTTTCCAGATACGAATTTAGTTTGATCGTGATATGCCGCTAATAATTAAAAAAATATCGTTTTTGATACGAATTTCGATATTGGTTATTTTGTATCGATTTATCGATATATCGAATCAAAATATATCGGCAAAAAATATCGATATATCGAACAAAAAATATCGATATATTTTCAACAAGCCTACGCAAAAGTGCATTTTTTCCACAAGTGTGCCAGTTGCTAAGTCAGGGACTTGTTAACTTGCACATAATGCCTTAAGTATAGAATTATTTCCGTTACTTGCTGTTTTGCAATATACCATAAATAAACTATGCCTCCAGGTGAAACTGTAAAGAAGCTGTTCGGATTGCAATACACCCAGATGGAAAAGAGTGGCAAAGAGCCGGACCTCAATGAGCTGACACTCAAATACGTCACACAGTAAGTACTTAGGACTAATTAAGCTCTATAACGGCATCACTCAGGCTCGTATTACAGAATGACAACTAAGTTTTGATCTTTACTTGAGTACAGTTAGAAAGGGATGTCACTTTGTGCTATATATAGAGGCATCCCTTTCTAACTATGCTCAAGACTAGATCAATCACTGGGAATCATTCTATAATACGGGTCTTAGAGAAGTCAATAACTTTACAAAAGACCGCAGTAAAATAACTTGCCTTAGGATCTCTCTCCGAGCTGGGTGATATTTGCTCGGGGTCGCGGTCCGACTGATGTTTTTTCTTTGGAAATATTGTTGGTCGCAGATGACCTTTACAGCGTCATCGGGTATGGGGACGGCGAGATCCTAAGGGGACCTCAAGCCGAGAATTGACAAGTGCCTCTAGAAGTATTCCAGGCGGATGGCATCTCCCCGCGGGGGGACTCTCCTCCCTGTCTGGAGTCTCTAGACCACTCGAACCTGAGGGGTTCAGCTCAACTAGAGGGCGTCTCTGTGACTCGAACCTCGTCTCTAGTTAGCCGTTGTCGTGGGGCCGACTGATCTTGGTCGGGCATTGCATATATTAAGTGTTGGCTGCCGAATTTCACTTGCGTGATACAGGTTTCCATACGATGTGAGCGCAGCATCGGTAGCGCCATCTCTGTTGCGGAGGAGAGTGATTGTTTCCTCCATGTTGGTTGTACGTGGGGCATGTAGATGTCGCCGCCACAGTTTAAATTAGAATAAAGACAAGCATTAGTAGCTGCAAAGGTAAAAAGATTAAAAAGCCATCCATAATAATGTGCCAATCTACTTCACCCTACCTCTGTTTTAAGATGGAATGATTTCCCGTTTTTTCAGATCGTTGAATATATCGCTGAACATCAACTCGGCGGCGGGATTTCTGCCCAAATCCAAGCATTTTAACAGAGAACGGTTTGTGATCTACGTGCACGGGTTCGCGGACAACCCCAACAAGAGGTCCTTCGGCACTGTCAGCAAAGGGTTCCTGAGAAGGCGTAAGTATTAAGGAATATATCTATCTGTATTGATTGAAAAATCTAGTGTCCGAGCCCAACATCATAGGAGAAATTAAAGCAGTTAGACTTCGCTGGCTCGGGCATGTAGAGAGAATGGGAGAGGATCGAGCCGTGAAAAGGGCGTTTTTGGGGCGACCGATAGACGGCCCGTTGGACGTCCCAGATACCGCTGGAGCGACGAGGTGTAGAGGGACTTGCAGTCTTTGGGTGCCGATGGCTGGCGGGACCTCAAAGGATCGCAAAGCATGGCGTCCTCTTGTGTCGGAGGCCTTTTTGGGGCGACCGATAGGACGATGGCCCGTTGGACGTCCCAGATACCGCTGGAGCGACGAGGTGAAGAGGGACTTGCAGTCTTTGGGTGCCGACGGCTGGCGGGACCTAGCCCGGGATCGTCGAGCATGGCGTCTTGTGTCGGAGGCCAAGATCCACTTTGGATCGTTGCGCCGCAGCAGTAAAGTAACTATTGATAGACTTTTTAACATAAATAACAATTTTCAACGGTATAGATGTACTGATTTTATTTATTTATTGATGTTTTGCATCTTTTTCGTCGTGTCAGTGCATCTAGCATCTATACTGTTGAAACTTGATTTATTTATATTAGTGTAGAGTTGAATCTCTGTTTCCCATGGTCACGCCATTACTTAACGACTTTCCCGATTGCGTGTATATTTTTATTAAGCTTCTTAATTTTGTAGAGCCCGCTTGCACCAAAATTCATAATTCAAATTCCATTCCTCACATACAAATTTATCGTCTACCACAACCTATTTTATGCGTGTCGAAAATCACCACTCAAGCTTTAGTCCATATATTATGGACTTGAATATTATAATAGAATCTATCGTCACGCAGCTGATTATACTGATAAATAAATAAATAAATATTTCCAACACTCACACCAATTAGCCTAGCCCCAAAGTAAGCACTGTAAGGCTTGTGTTATGGGATGCTAGGGTAACGGATAGAATACATATACTGAAACATATATAAGTATATTTATATAGAAATACATATCAAACATCCATGACTGGAGTACAAATGCTCGTATTCATCACATGAACATCTGTCCCCACCGGGATTCGAACCCTGGACCTCTCGAGTCGGCGACACCATAAAACCCGGCGTATAAACCACTCAGCCACGGAGGTCGTCTAGGTACTGATGTAGATATAGATGATAGAACTAATGGCGTAATTACATTAGGTTGTTAGCCCGAATTCGGGTGCGCGAAAGACATTACTCGAATTCGGGCACCCGAAGCAATATTTACACTGGAATACCGGCTGGAAGACGGTGTCGGGTAAATAAAAGGAAATCTACCAGTGGCGGACGAATCCTGTCAGAGGCCCGGGGCGGCAAAGCTGAATGAGGCCTCAACTTTAAAAAAAAATGGGTGCGTGTACTTATGTAGGCGCGTGAGAAGTTATCCTTCTTTGGCATCGTTTAAAATTAGTTTTTAATTGCATGCAAATAATTAATTACAATAAATTAATAAAAAGTCTGGAAAAGGACACAGTCAATAAAGTTCAGTTTTAATTTGAAAAAATAAATAAATAATCAAAATATTCAATTAAAATCGCTACTGAATATAATTTATTAGAGCATATGTGATTTGCACTTGTATGAAACTCAAACACGTATTCCGAATATACAAACTAGAAACATGTGGATAAATATTATAAATATGAATACCTATAACTGTTACTTTATTACAATAATAACATAAAAGTAACATTGAAAAATAAAGATGTGGTTTTTGGTTCTACTACACCAATGGTCAAGAGATCGCGCTGTAGTCTCCTGAATCGCGCTTTAGTTCCGTTGTTCCAGATTAATAAATACTTTTGATAGGCCTTCACAATGCAGTCGTTAGCACACACTAAATAGAGATTCTATTTCTATTTTGTTGGTAGATTTCCTAATGCGCGGTAAACACAAAAGTAACAGCATGAAGTTGGTCGCTAAAGCGATCAACTTCATGCTGTTAATTTTTTGTGTTACAGTGATGCGCGCGCATCTTAAAATTTCACTCTCATTATTTTTTCATAACGCGCCTTAAGAAGTATAACTTCAAAAATGTAGTTTCTTATGTTTGTTTCGTTAAAATCTGGCAAGTGAAATTCGAATAAAATTATTTTGGTTAAATAAACATACATACTTACAATATGGTACATATTGTCTAGAAACGTAGGTGCATATTGACTAGAAACAACTTCCTGAAGAAGTACCCGCTACAAATACGGGAATTCCCCCAGCGTATTGGACGCGTTCAGTTAAAAGAATATTAGTACCGCGTAAAAAGACTAGATGGCTGTAGTATTTTGATCTTGATGAAATTATACCTACTTACTACTAAGTACATTTTTAGTCTTGTTTAGAATTTGATCAGGGGAACGCGGAGGCATTTGGGGGCCCCCCAAGATCAGAGGCCCGGGGCGCCCCTTCCGCCCCCTGTTAGTCCGCCACTGAAATCTACTAGGCTTGTTGAAAATATATCGATGTATCGATATTTTTTGTTCGATATATCGATATTTTTTGCCGATATATTTTGATTCGATATATCGATAAATCGATACAAAATAACCAATATCGAAATTCGTATCAAAAACGAAATTTTTTTAATTATTAGCGGCATATCACGATTTAACTAAAATCGTATCTGGAAGAATCGTAACTGGATCTCACATTAATGATATTCAACATATCTATGATCTGTGCTGTATTTAGTATTGCCTATGTCATCATTCGAAAATAGGGTCTATTTTTAGGGCGATAATTTTCGTTCCATTATTATTCCGCGTGTCATATTTCGTGAGCTATTTTAGAGTACGATATTTTTGGGAAAATTGGTCCGATATATCGATATATCGATGTTTTTTTGGCGATATATCGAAGCCGATATTGATATTTTTTAAAAGATCGATGTATCGATATATCGATATTTTTTTCAACTTTCGACATCCCTAAAATCTACCCGAATATGGGCGTACTCCACTCAGTTCATTAACAGTTAGTCGTTTACCCGAATTCCATTGGCACTAGTATTCGGGCTAGCGACCAAGTGTAATAGCGCCATAACTCAGCTTTCGGACGCTATAACTGCTTTAAGTGCATTTAGTACCAAAGCTTTTTCACCGGGATTCGAACCCTGGACCTCTCGAGTCGGTGACACCATGAAACCCGGCGTACAAACCACTCGACCACGGAGGTCATCTTATATTTCGCAGAACGTTCTTCCGGAAAAGCATATTAAGAAAGTAACGATACTTTTGTACGAACAAAACTCGATTCGTGATATGAGAGTCAAGGCATAGCCGACTCGCATAGCAGCGTCTAAGGAAGTAACCTCGATGGAGGAGCTCGATGGCGCAGGTGGCTAGCGCGTTCGGCTGCGATCGTTGAAGTTAAGCAACTTTCACAGCGGTCGGTCATTGGATGGGTGACCAAAAATTTACTATCTCGAGCTCCTCCGTGCTTCGGAAGGCACGTTAAGCCGTTGGTCTCGGTTGCATTTGCAGTCGTTAGCACCCACCAATCCGCACTGGGCCCGCGTGGTGGGTCATGGCCCAATCTCCCTATTCCATCCATAGGGAAGGCCTGTGCCCCAGCAGTGGGGACATTAATAGGCTGATGATGATGATGAAGGAAATAACCTCCATTATGAAAGAACCATAGACATCCACATTATGAAAGAACATTCCACAGCATTATGAAAGAACATTAACTTTTTACTTCTTAACAATAATAGTTAGACGTTGTTTAGGCTAATTGTATTAGTTTTTAATTACTGCAAAACTGTTACACGCTATTAGCAAGCATATAATAGGAGGTACCTTTATTTGTATTTTCCATAAATACATAATAACTATACTTTTGTAAATTGTCGTGCGGGCGCTGGGCGCATCTTTACCGCGTCTGAGTAAATATAGTTAATTTAACATTTCCTGTATTGATGTAAGTAAACCAGTTATGGCCATTTGTTTGACTTAGCTTTGACATTGGTATAGTTAAAGACGCATAAGTGATGCGATCGAGATTATAGTCGACTATAACTAGGCTATTTTTACAATTGACCCGACAATCCTTTGTGTAGATGTCACGCGATTCTTGCAAATTGGTAGTTTATTTAGATGTTTTTATTTTTTAAGCATTTAACTGCTAGATGTTTAAATCTAAAGAAAAGTTTTACTAGAAAAGAATCCACGCGGACCAGGCAGCAGACGGGACTCGAACCCGCACCCTTCGCAATCCGGGCGAATGCACTGACCAATTATGCTTCCACGGCCCTAACGGCCGAGTCGAAATTTTCATAGCCTTAAGATGGAAGGCAGCGCCATCTCTTCGCAATGTAGGTAACCTACAATGTCGTTTTCTAGTAAAACTTTTCTTTAGATGATTTTTTTAACTGGCTTCTATAATTTACCTCCTTAACGTCTGGGAGTCTAAAATTCCAATTAACTAGTATATAGTAGAGGAGCCCAAACGGGGATTTTTGGATTTACTCGAGCGCGACAGAATAACATATGGGGAGTAACCTTGCACCTAGTTAAGTACTCCCATCATACCTGAGCCCTCTATGTAGGGCCAAACGTCTAGGGCAGCAAAAACAAAATTTCCATAACTTTTGGTCGGGTCAAAATCGTCAGTCTTTTGAATAGGAGCTACTGGAGGGTTCACATTTTTTTTAAGCATTTAACTGCTAGATGTTTAAATATAAATAAAAGTTTTACTAGAAAAAAAAACCACGCGGGCCAGGCAGCGGACGGCACTCGAAAAATTTCGACGCGGCCATCAGGGTGGTAGCATAATTGGTCAGTGCATTCGCCCGGATTGCGAAGGGCCCCGTCCGCTGCCTGGCACGCGTGGTTTTTTTTTCTAGTAAAACTTTTCTTTAGATAAAAATACTTGTCCAATACTTTTGTTAGTCTACCTGACAGACAAAGAAAAAAACTTGGTCATCATCCCTATTGCGCGTGCGTGTTCAGTACGCTTAGTACGAACCAATATCGACTTCGAATAGTTAGCGAGTGCGAAATGTCATTGTCAAAATTTGTCAAGTTTCCATAACTTGCACAGCGGCGCCACGAGAACTAAAAATCAGTACACTTTGAAATGAAATGAAAAGTCATTTATTCAGTCTAGGCTGTTACAAGCACTTGTGAAGGTCAAGAAGCTACGCCATCGGTTCGCAGAACTACGGCGGGAGACCTTGTACTGAGAAGAACCGGCAAGAAAATCAGCAAGGGCTGCATTTTTCTCCCTGTATTGATATAAACAGAGTCGTCAAGTTGAAAAATGACTTCAGAGATACTTCTGAAGTCACCTTCCATTACATTACTTAGGATATAGATATATAGGTACAATAAATTTTATATTTAGTATATAGGAAGCGGCATTAGATAGGTACCATATTACTGTTACAAAAACTGACTCATACCCATCAAATAACAAATTACAAGAAACACTATGACCATGCATTACTATCATTTAGGTAATCATTAACTTTATAATAGCCCTTATTCATAAGAGAATTCTTGATCTGAGATTTAAATTTGGTAAGTGGAAGCTCAATCAGATCTTGGGGAACTTTGTTAAGTCCCAGAAATGAACCTCTTGATTTTAGGAGTCTGAAACATGGAACTTGATAATGCCATTTCGCACTCGCAAACTATACGAATTCGATATTGGTTCATGCAAGGGCCAGGGCACTGGCGCCTGTCGCGTACGTTTCGTTTTTGAACAACCTGCCAGTGCTTTTTCACACACTCGCACTGCATGAAACAGTCTTTATGCCTTCTTTCCTGATGTCAGTTTCTTTAACGCTTCTCGCAGCTCCGCCTCTGTGGGAACGCAGCCTAAATACGTATGTGCTACTGTGTCCACAGAAATGTACAATCTCCTGGCGTTGGACGGCAGCTCGCTGATCCGGTGGTTCTACCTTCGCTCCACCACCTACGTGCGGTTCATGGGGGAGAAGCTGGGCAGCATCCTCGCTGACCTCGTCAATGGTAACGTATTCTGGTAGCCTAGTATTATAAACCCCGGTAAACTTCTTGAGCAGCGACCAAGGAAGCATCATCATCATCATCAACAGCCTATCATAGTCCACTGCTGGACATAGGCCTCTCCAAATGCACGCTACTCAGATCGATCTTGGGCTACTCGTATTCAGCTCCTGCCAGCCACCTTGCGCAAATCGTCACTATATCGTGCCTGAGGACGTCCTACACTACGTGTTCGCGCTTGAACTACGCGCGGGAAATACGCGAACCGCCGAACACTACCGAATGATCACGACGGCGGCCGACGGGCGTTGTCGGCAACAATCGTTTTTTTATTATAACGGCTTGAGAGAAGACAAGACGCAGAAAATTGTACTCGCTTCCTTTGATTGCATACACATTATACTTATTAATATTAGCAAATCTGTAATTATCTTTATTGAAGATTAAATGCCTGTAAACGAATCAAGATTGGGATTATTATTTCCTGGAGTTAACAGGAAAAGTGGTGCCGTGACCAGGATTTAGACTGGAAGGAAGATTGCTGGTCTGGGATAGAAATTGGTGAGCCCGTTCCTATTCCTTTCTTTTAGATCCATCCCCTAGTTCTTTTGGACGAGTAACGTCGAATAAGTGTTATTGTGCATAGTAGATAATAAAAATAAGAGTATAAAGGTAGAAAAGGCAGTAATTTGCAAACGCGTATAATAGTTACCTACCTTCGCAAAGTAAAAAAAAAAATATAAGTACTTAGTTTTTTGAAATTTGCATAAAGGTTTATCATTTTCTTTCAGGTTAAGTATATTTTTTGTAGTTGTTGTATATAAATATTGTAAATTCCAGGTCAAACTTTAAACAACTGCACCGGCCTTTCACCGATTATTGGATGTACCAAGCATATAATTTGATGCATCATTGGAAAGAATAAACAAATTAATAGCTATTTTATAACATATCACACCTGGTGAGTGGTGAGAGGATCCTTCGGAGAAGCAGTTCGAGGTATTTACTTAGTTTTTAGTATTGTATAATTTATTTCCTCTGATTTCTTATTTCCCACATCATTATGGCAGAAGCTCTTGATAAGCTCGTCAAAAGGCGCAGTTGTCTAAAAGGTCAATTAACAATATTTAAGAATTATTTAGAAATTATTCGGCAAATTGATATAAATAAATTAACTACGCAGCAACTTTCAGAATTAAAATTAAGACTAAATAAATTAGAAAATAGTTTATCCGCCTTTGATAATCTACAAACCGAAATAGAAATATTAAGTGACAATTCTTCTGATCAACTCAATGAGAGGGAGTCCATGGAAAATGATTTTTTTTCTTTAATGTCTAGTTCCCAATCTATCATAGAGGAAGCGAGTATCATTGCAAATAGGAGGCAAAGTTTATCAGACACAGTTGTCAATCAATCAAATAATACAGGCAATGTTCTAGTAAATAATAATATATCTCTTCCTACCATCAAGTTGCCCATGTTTGATGGATGTTATAGTAAGTGGTTGGAATATAGAGATACTTACATTTCGTTAATTCATAGCAATGACAGTATAAATACCATAAATAAATTTCATTATTTGAGGTCCTCATTGGAGGGTAGTGCTGCATTGGTGATTAAATCAATTGAATTTTGTTCTGATAACTATATGGCTGCATGGTGCCTTCTATGCGACAGGTACAACAACAAAAGGTTGTTAATTAATAATCATTTAAAGGCACTTTTTGGTATAGAAAATATGATAAGGGAGTCTGACACCTCTCTTCGTTACATTATGGACCATGTGACAAAAAATTTAAATGCTTTAAAAAACTTAGGTCAACCAGTTGAACACTGGGATTCACTCATTGTTTATTTAATTGTAATGAAATTAGACAATTACACTAGTAGAAAATGGGAAGAACATAAAGGGTCTCTCAGTGATATTCCAACATTAGAGGAATTCTTTTGTTTTTTAAGGAATAGAGCAGATTTCTTAGAAACTGTAAAGTATAACAAATGTTTTAATAAGAATGATAGGGTATCAACATTTGTAACATCTGGCCAAGCGTCAAATAGTAACAACTATAAATTGAGCTGTATAGTATGCAAGCAAATGCATCGTTTGTATGAATGTCCTAAGTTCATTTCCATGACCTTGGAGGAACGTAATAATTTAGTATCGAAAAATAAATTATGTGTAAATTGTTTGAGCGTTGGACATTACGCAAAAAATTGCCGTAACAGTCCGTGTAAAACCTGTAGATATAAGCATCATACCTTATTGCATAGGTCTAAGGTACAAAATAGCAGTGTCGTAAATAATAATTCACAGTCATTCGTATCACAAGTGCATAGCGATCATCTGTGCGCGGCCGCTTCAGAACCGGTTTCGTTATCTACGACTGAAGCGGCGGTGGCAATCCCCGCACAGCATGTTCTTTTGTCTACGGCGCTCGTTCAAGTAGTAAATATTATTACAAAGGAAGTATTTGTAGTGCGCGCCTTACTGGATAGCGGGAGTCAAATAAGCATGATAACCGAAAATTTACGCGCCAAGTTGGGATTATATAGTGTAAAAAACGAGCAGCCTATGACGGTATCAGGCATAGGAAATATTAAGTTAAGTATATCGGATAGATGTAAATTAGTAATGCGATCGATGAAAGGTAATTTCTCGACCGAAATAAGTGGCATGGTAGTAAAAAGTATAACTGGTATGTTACCAAATGTAAATGTAGACGTGCAGTCTTTGAATATACCTAAAAATATTATGGTAAAATTAGCAGATCCTCAGTTTCATGTATCCGCTGAAGTAGATATATTAATTGGAGCGGATTTATTTTGGGAAATAGTGTGGGGAAAACAAATACGGTTAGGTAAAGGTAAACCCATTTTGCAAAATTCTAGGTTAGGTTGGTTGATATCGGGTCCTTTGAGTACACAAGGTTCGAGTAAAAATGCAGTAAGCTGCCAACTTAGCTTTGATCTAAATAATATGGTAGAAAAATTCTGGTTGATTGAAGAAATTCCATCCACAGATTTAGTGAAAAATACAGAGGAGCAATTTTGTGAAAAACATTTTGTAGAAAATACGTATAGGTTACAAAACGGTAGGTTTTGTGTAAAAATTCCGTTTCATACTTCGCCTTATGACACATTAGGTGATTCACTTTTTATTGCAAAGAGACGCTTTTATAACTTAGAAAAAAGATTTAGAAAGCAACCGGATTTAAAGGAATCATATGTAAGATTTATAAACGAATATAAGGAATTAGGTCATTTATCAGTTTCTAGTAAATGCGACCCTGCTTATTATTTACCGCATCACCCGGTGCTGAGAGAGAAAAGTGAAACGACGAAACTTAGGGTGGTATTTGATGCATCTGCGAAGACCAACTCCGGGCGGTCGTTAAATGATGTGCAGGCTGTCGGTCCGATTATACAAGATGATTTGTTTAGCATCTTATTGAGATTTAGACAACATAGTTTTGTCATTACGGCAGACATAGAAAAAATGTATAGGCAGGTAATGGTCGACGAAAGTGATAGACATTGGCAAATGATAATATGGAGAGAAAATGAAGGCGAGAAGTTGCAATATTTTAAACTAAACACGGTCACATATGGTACTGCGTCTGCGCCTTTTTTGAGCACGCATTGCCTTCATCAATTAGCTCAAGAATGTAATAACCCGAAAATAAAGGGTATTATCGAACACGATTATTACATCGATGATATTTTGACAGGATTTGAAACTGAGAAGGAATTAGAAACAACATTTAAATCAATTATAAATGTTTTGAAATCGGCAGGATTCAATTTGAGGAAATTTCGTACAAATTCAAATGTTCAATTCAATGAAAGTAACTCTAGTGATAATCATATAATAGCAGATGAAAAAGCGACTACGGGAACGTTAGGGTTAACATGGTCACCTTTGTCCGATAGTTTTATTTTTCCCGTAAGTATTTCCACAATGGAAAATATTACAAAAAGAAACTTGCTATCTGCTATAGCTAAAATATTTGATCCTCTTGGCTTGTTGAGTATATTTATTATTAAGGCAAAGTTAATAATGCAACATTTATGGAAATGCAAATTAGAATGGGATGAAAAGGTGACAGACGAGATTATGTTAATGTGGTCAACCTTTGTAAATTCGGTTAATTCACTGTCTTGTGTGAATGTGCCAAGACATGTGTTTTGTAAAAATGTAAAAATTATTGATATACATATATTTTCAGACGCCTCTCAAGCAGCATATGGCGCCTGTGCATATATACGCTCAGTGGATCAGAATGGAAGGGTTTGGGTAAAGCTGTTATGCGCAAAATCAAGAGTAGCTCCCTTGAAGTCCACGACGATCCCACGACTTGAGCTGTGCGGTGCGCTGCTAGCTGCTGAGTTGAGCGCCAAGGTTAGGCAAGTCCTGCGTTGCCAGGTAGGGCGTTGTGTGCATTGGACGGATTCAATGGTAGTTCTCGGGTGGCTACATACCTCTGCAAGTCGGAAATTAGAAGTGTTTGTGGCAAATCGAGTAAACAAAATTAAAACTTTGACAGAAAATTATGAATGGAGGTATGTTCCCACCGATGCGAACCCCGCAGATCTCGTTTCAAGGGGTGTAGATAAATTTGAGGAAAAAATTGCAAATTTTTGGTGGGGAGGCCCCGAGTTCTTAACTCAGGATGAGTCACAGTAGCCTGCCAAAAAGTATAATTCGCAGAGATGTCATAACTATGATGAAAAAATTATTATCTTGCAAACTGTAGTAGATAATGAATTATCTCAAATATTTAATAAATATTCTAATTTGAATACCTTAAAGAGAGTAATGGGCTATATATTACGATTCATAAATAATTGTCAAAAATCGCAAGTAAAAATTACATCGTCATATTTAACTACAGAGGAATTACAAAACAGTATAGATGCTTTAGTAAAATTAGCTCAGTCAGAGTCATTCGGGAAAGAAATACAGGCACTGAAGAAAAAAACAGTTTTTAGACCCCAAATCTAAGATTTTGTCTCTGAACCCATTTTTGGATGAAGTAGGTATGATTAGAGTTGGTGGTAGAATAGATAATTCGAAATTTAGCTACGATAAAAAGCATCCCATGCTTCTTGACGTAAAGCATCGCTTATCAGTCCTTATTTTTGAACATGAACATAGGCGTCTTATGCATGCGGGCCCTCAATTGCTATTAGCCGCGGTACGTGAGCAGTTTTGGGTCACTAACGGTAGAAACCTTGCCAGAAGTATACCTCACAAATGTGGAATCTGTAAACGTTTTCGAGCAAAGACACTGCAGCCTTTAATGGGTAATCTGCCAAACCAACGTCTCACTCCGGGAATACCGTTTGAAACAACAGGCGTTGATTTCGCAGGTCCCTTTTATATAACTGATAGAAAGGGTCGTGGTTGCAAAATAAGCAAATGTTATTTATGTATTTTTGTCTGTTTTGCGACCAAGGCTCTTCATCTGGAAGCGGTAAGCGATTTAAGTAAAGATGCGTTTATTTTGAGCTTAAAAAGATTTATTGCACGACGTGGTAAACCAAAGAATATATTTTGCGATAACGGTACTAATTTTGTGGGAACTAAGAATGAATTGGATAGGTTAGTTTTGCATAATAAAAATGATTTAACTCGGATTGGTTCCGATGAAGGAATCAAATTTCATTTCTCACCAGCGTATGCACCAAATTTTGGCGGACTATGGGAGGCCGGTGTAAAGTCGGCCAAATTTCATTTAAAAAGAATTTTAGGCGATAGACATTTAACTTTTGAAGAGCTTACGACGTTATTCGCTCAAATAGAATCTATCCTTAACTCTCGTCCTATCTGTCCCATGTCCTCCAATCCCAGTGACCTTTGTCCTCTCACACCTGGGCATTTTCTCATCGGACGGCCAATGACAGCACTTCCATCGCCGCAGTTGATAGACGCAAGGATCAGCAGATTGGATCGCTATAATCAGTTGGAACAAATGAGACAACACTATTGGTCACGCTGGCATAACGAATATATAGCAGAACTACAGCATCGTATTAAATGGAAGCAGCAATATTACAGTTTGAAACAAGGAGATTTGGTTATTATTAAAGAAGACAACTTGCCACCATTAAAGTGGAGAATGGGGAGAATCCAAGCTTTGTTTCCTGGTAAAGATGGAATTCCTCGAGTCGCGGACATTTGTACTAGCAATGGAGTAATTCGAAGAGCTTTGAGTCGACTTTGTCCTCTTCATTTTGACGAGTCCAGCACTGAAGAGTTGAAGAATTCTTCTTCAAGGGGGGAGGATGTTCGCGCTTGAACTACGCGCGGGAAATACGCGAACCGCCGAACACTACCGAATGATCACGACGGCGGCCGACGGGCGTTGTCGGCAACAATCGTTTTTTTATTATAACGGCTTGAGAGAAGACAAGACGCAGAAAATTGTACTCGCTTCCTTTGATTGCATACACATTATACTTATTAATATTAGCAAATCTGTAATTATCTTTATTGAAGATTAAATGCCTGTAAACGAATCAAGATTGGGATTATTATTTCCTGGAGTTAACACTACGTCTGCCTAGACGCGGTCTCCACTCCAGAACTCGTCTACCGTAAAAGGTTATCGGTTCAGCGGCAATTATGGCCAGCTCAACGCCACTTCAACATGCTAATCCGGTGGTCTATGTCGATAACTCTGGTTCTCTGTCGGATCACTATATTTATCTAAAAATATTTATAAACATCCATGACTTAGGTACAAATGCTTGTATTCATTGTACATAAATTTATCCCACCGGGATTAGAACCCGGGACCTCGGAAGGTAGTCAAATTGATTATGACTAGTTTAGCGCAAAAACTCCTCTGCTGATTCATTTCTCCTTCCATTCTCAGAGGGTCTGCCGGCGTCCTCCATCCACATAGTGGGGCACAGCCTGGGCGCCCACATCTCCGGGTTCACGGGCAAGCAGTTCCAGAAGCTGACCGGGCAGCGCGTGGGCCGCATCACCGGGCTGGACCCCGCCGGACCCTGCTTCTCCAACCTGGAGCCAGAGCTCAAGCTGAGCGCGGAGGACGCAGACTTTGTGGACGTCATCCACACTAACGGAGGAGTGGCCGGGCTTAAAGAACCAGTCGGTGAGACTCAAAATCTTTTTCAAAAGCTCTCCTTATAGTTATAATTTTTTATTTTTTTAAAGCATGTAACTGCTTGATGTTTAAATCTAAAGAAAATATAACTAGGAAAAATTCCACGCGAACCAGGCAGCAGACGTGACTCGGACCCGCACCCTTCGCAATCCGGGCGAATGCACTGACCAATTATGCTACCGCGGCCCTTACGGACCGCGTCGAAATTCCTCTAGCTATTCTTAAGCTGCAAGGCAGCGCTATCTCTTCGCTTTATAGGTAACCCACAATGTCAAATCCCGTCGGGAGAGTCCCGTCAGCTGCCTGGTCCGCGTGGATTTTTTTCTAGTTATATTTTCTTTAGCTCTCCTTATATTTATTGGAGGTACAAACAGATGGTGATGTGTTTGTGTTCGTGAGTTTTCTAGAGCTCCACGGGGTAGAGGAATGAGTCGGGTAGGCAGAGGCGAGTGTTTACGCCAATAAACCCCAAATGCATGTTACTTACTTACTTTAAAGATAATAGATAAGGTGAAAGTGTTGTTGTCACAAGTCACTAGATGGCGCCATCAGTTTGCATAGTGTGATGTCTGAATGGCGATGTTGAGATTTTTACCCGTTTATATAAGCCTTAGAAAATAAGGTTTCGTTTCAAATACATTTATTTCTTTGAGTTTGAACGGTGGTTTATTCGCTATGTGCGAAGTACATGGTGGGGGTATAGTGAAGCGATCGCAGCGCTTATAGTGGCAGAAATACGCAACAATCCGGGAAAGTAAAGTCAATTTGCACGGAGTTCGTAATAAACAAAAATTTTTTAAAATGCCTATTAATAGATGTTGTTGTGTTGTGAATTGCAAAAATAAGGGCACAAATAGTCTGTGTATATATTTCCTACATTGGACTGGAAATTAAATCAAAGAAATAAATGGATAGATGCCATAAAAAGAAATAAGTAAGCGAAATAACCTTAAATTATGATCAATTTTATTTGCGCTATATATTTTATGTGATATTCATTATTGTCTTTATTATTTTAGTGTTGATGGGTCGCCATGGTATCCCAAACCTGACGACACAATTTGTAGTGAACATTTTATGGGAAACAAAAAATCAGACGAGGAAGAAAATCCGAGTTATGCTCCTACGATATTCCCTGAAATATATCGAAAGAGGAAGGTTAATGATTCACAGGTCCTAGCTAGATATACACGCTTGACAAAACGAAGAACCACAAAAGTCTCAGATACCACATCAAGTCAAATAATAATTGAAGAAGGGAGTGAATTAAATCAAACTCAACCTTTTATGATCGATCAAGGATGTCAAGTCAATATGTTTTCTGAATCGAAATTAAGAGATACAACTTTTATTTGTATTAGATTAATTTACAGTGATCACTGTGATCCAACATCAAGAATTTTAATGACAAATAATTCAAGAAAGAAAGATAAAAGCTGTGGCACTGACAAAAAATCGTATGAGGATCAATCTACCGAAACAAAAAGTCAAGAATTTGTTGGTATTTCATCAATAACAAATGATCAAGAACTCCTAGATCCTTCTGGTGTGTCATTTAGCAATTTTGAGTTTTTATTAACAAGATTAACTATGAGAAAATGTACAGTTTCCACTAAAGACCGACTTCTGATTTTTTTGATAAAAATGAAAACTGGCTTGACATTTTCAGCATTGAGTGTGTTATTTGGTGTACAAAAAAACCACAATCTCACGTATATTTCATTCGATCTTACAAAATCTAGCTTGTTCAACTGCTAATTTAATCTTTTGGCCGAATAGAGCCACCGTACAAGCACCAATGCCCAAGTGTTTCAGTCCAGATTACATCAATACAAGAGTTATTATTGACTGTACTGAATTCCGAATTGAAATCCGACATTATTTAAATTATTATACAATATATAATAATTTTTATTTATCTTTACCTTACTATATTTACTAGAAATCAATAAAATACAAACTGATGTTATTATTTGGCATAATCCCGGAAAGTTGCGCATTGTAGGTGGCGCTACTGTCGTGCACATAGCGAATATTTAACATTATCCTTGCACCATTCAAAGCTTTTTTGGGATATGTACAGCAGTGTTGCCAACTCGGATTTTGAAAAAGGCTTAGGCCCGATGAGGAAATTACGTAGATTTAGTAATTTTTGCATATGAAAAGTACGTAGATCTACGTATTTTTTTCTGAGTGAAATGAAGAAGTCCGAATGAAACGAGTATTTTGTTATACAATTTCTTTAAAAACGGGAAATGGAACAAAGAGTTCTTGGAGAAATCGCTGCATTGGAAGCATTTACCATGCTGCGGTAGACCATGACCATGTGGTATTATAAAACCTGGGGGTAGAGTTATTCGCGTCCGTAGGAACTACCTAATCACTACCCTACACGTGCCCCCCGGGTGGTGCGAAATGAATAACAACGCCGGGTCTCAGGCGGCGGTTAATTAACCCGAGCAAACCAGCCTAACCAGCCTGGTCCAACAGTGAGAGTAGGAAATGACTCACACAAACCGCAACCCTGTGAACGCTCCCTACAGGATCGGTGGTCTTGGCTTAATTGCCCGGACTACGAAGAAGACAACTTCTATAAAAAATCACCCTAAGTCTACGGTGAGATTCGTGCCAAAAGACTGCATGGCTGGTGGGAGACCAGTCGCTAACGATCCACATCGACGGACCTGGCAAACGTCGTTGTATTAGCCTTCTAGGGAGAATAGGCGTCACCTTCCTAGCGACCTGTTATATCGGCCTCACTCGTGGGAATAAAATGAACCAATCAAATACCAATAATAATCAACAAACCTTATCAAACTCTAAAAAACCAACTAACCCTAACAGCATGATCCAACAAACTTTGCATGAAAGCATATTTACTCGGAACAGAAGCAACTCGACATCGTCTTTGCCAACAAAGCTTAAAGACTACAACCAACAAAACAAGGAGAAAGGCAATCTGGATTCACAGACCGATACCCAATCGGCCAGTGACAACATAACCTCAGACCATGAAGAATGGCAAAGGGATGAAATTCCCACCAAAAGAAAGAAAAGGAAAGAAACGAGTCCAATTCATAACGACGGGAATAAAAAACAGAAAAATTCCTCAGACTTTGTGATCCCTACACGCAATAGTTTTGAACTACTTGATGTGGAGCCTACGTATAAAACCAACAATACAGAAAAGGTATATGTACCAAAACCAGAACCCATCTTTGTTACGGGCGTAATTAACGTAAATTCCCTTAAGGAGGTACTAAACCAATTTGTAAAAAGCGACTTCTACCTCATGACCACACTTAGATCTGGACACGTCATAAAAATTATACCTAAAGACATCCAGACATACAAAACGATTCGAGAGAACTTCATTGTCAATAATATCTCACACTATACTTACCAGCTTAAAAGCGAGAGAGCATACAGAGTAGTACTACGCGGACTCCATGCATCAGAAAATACCACAGAAATTTCAAAGGAATTGCATGAAATTGGACATGAAGTGAGACAAATAGTCAATATCAGACATCGAGCTACAAAGGAACCGTTGCCTGTATTTTATGTCGATTTAGAACCAAAGCCAAACAACAAAGCCATTTTCGACGTAAAATACTTGAATAACATGAAGATTACATTTGAAACCCCATATAAAAAAAAGGAAATCATTCAATGCAAGAGATGTCAGAGATTTGGGCATTCCAAGAACCAATGTTTTAGGCCCTATCGCTGTGTTAAATGCGGCAGCGCTCACCCTACAACATCATGTACTAAAAAACCAGATACTGAGGCTACTTGCGCGAACTGTGACGAAAAACACCCTGCTAGCTACAAAGGATGTAAAGTGTACAAGCAGTATAGAGAAAGAATTCTTAAATTAGACTCAAAAGTAAAGAACTCCAAAGAAAAACCATTGCCTAACAATATAGAGATCAAAAACCCGGATCCCTACCCGAGTTCTAAGCCAAACCGCACGGATAATCAAAACTTAATTAAAACCTATGCAGAAGCAACGAAAACCAAAGAACAATATACTCAACAAGACACAAAGAACGACTTGGCAGACCTTAGTAACCTAATGGACATAATGTTTGAAAAACTACAACATTCAATGTTAACAATGATGGAAAAAATCATGGACAAAATGATGGACCGCATGGTCCAGCTAGTCAGCAGCCTGGTTAAAAAATGACCCGAAACCTCCAAGTAGTCACTTGGAACGCCAACGGCTTGACGGAACGACGCCAAGAACTAGAAACTTTCCTCAGAACAGAGATGATTGATATTGCACTAATCTCTGAAACAAGATTCACACCGAAGACACACATACAATTTAATAACTATACAGTATACACAACCAATCACCCAACTGGGAACAGCCATGGAGGAACAGCAGTTATTATTAAAAGCAATATTAAACACTACCCCATAGAGGAATATCGAACAGAAAAAATTCAAGCAACATCTATTAAACTTGTAGACAGCAAACTAGAAACGGTATTCTCCGCTGTGTATTGCCCTCCAAAACATACTATATCTGCCAACGACTTCACAAAATATTTTTCTACCCTGGGTAACAGATTCATATGTGCTGGCGACTGGAATTCCAAACATTTAAATTGGGGATCTAGGCTGACCAACACTAGAGGAAGACAACTTTATAAAGCCACAGGAGAGATGAAGTTAGAATGTCTCTCCGGTGGAGAACCTACCTATTGGCCTACCGACAGACAAAGAATCCCAGACTTATTGGACTTTTTTATTGTTAAAAACATAGATAGTAACTACTTAAATATAGAACCACGAATAGATCTCACATCTGACCACACACCAGTTATACTGAATGTCACTACAACAGTTAATTTTGTATCACCGTCCCCAAGAATATACAACTTGAACACTACAGACTGGACAATTTATAAAAATATAATCACGACAGAGACAGAGCTAAAGACCAAAATTAATACAATAGAAGATCTTGAAAGACAACTGGAACAACTTAATATGACTATCCACATTGCTGCCAATTTTGCTACTCCAAAAAGGACAGGTAAAGGACAACCTCTGAAACACAACTCATATCCAAAGGATATCAAAGAGAAAATACAAGAGCGCCGTCGTTTGAGAAGAATCTGGCATACTACAGGTTATCCAAGTGATAAAGCTGCATTCAATAAATTCTCAAATGAACTCAAAGTCCTTATCAGCACGCTAGAAAATGATAATATTCAACACTATCTTTTAAACCTAGATTCAACGAGAGACACAAACTATTCGCTGTGGAAGGCTACCAAGAATCTAAAGCGCCCGAAAATCCACATATCACCTATCAACAATGAAAAAGGAGGATGGGCTAGATCAGATAAAGAAAAGGCAACAATCTTTGCGGAACATTTGAAAACAGTTTTCCAACCATTCCCTGAAAGCAATCCCGAACAAACTGTAGAAATCAAGGAATACCTTAAATCTGCGAATCAAATGTGCCTTCCACTAAAAAGTACCAGCCCAAAAGAAATTGTAAAAGAAATAAAGAATCTCAAGGAAGGTAAAGCACCTGGCTATGACCTTATTGATGCCACATTACTTAAAAACCTACCTCATAAAGGTGTAATGAAATTAGTTAACATCTTTAATGCCAGCTTAAGACTCGAACATTTCCCTGGGCAATGGAAAATTGCACATGTAGTCATGGTACCGAAACCCGGTAAACCCCCACACGAAGCAAATTCCTACAGACCTATCAGCCTGCTACCAGTTATTGGCAAACTGTTTGAGAGGATATTGCTTAACAGGATGAAAGAACATTTAAGTACAGCATTACCGAACCACCAATTTGGATTCCGGGAAAAGCACGGGACAATTGAACAGGTACACCGTATAATTGACACCATTAGCAGATGCCTAGAAAACAAATTATATTGCTCTGCAGTCTTTTTGGATATCAGCCAAGCGTTTGATAAGGTATGGCATGACGGCCTCCTATTCAAGCTAAAGAAGCAACTCCCGCATTGTCTATTCCGAATACTTAAATCCTACTTAGATAAAAGATGCTACCAAGTGAAGTACGGCGATGATCTCTCAGAAGTGCACGAAATAAAATCAGGTGTCCCTCAGGGCAGTATCTTGGGCCCTATACTATACCTCATTTTTACAGCAGATATCCCAACAACTGACTACACCACGACTGCGACATACGCTGATGATACGGCGCTATTGTCGGCTCATAGCAACCCAGAAACGGCATCATTACAGTTGCAAAACCACCTGACTGAAGTTGAGATTTGGCTGAAGCGTTGGAGAATAAAAGCCAATGAGAGCAAATCGGTACATGTAACATTTACACTTAGGAGAGAAACATGTCCACCGGTAACGCTAAACTGCAAAGTTATCCCTCAAGATAATAACGCTAAATATTTGGGCATGCACTTAGACAGGAAACTTACATGGCAAAAACATATTTGGACAAAGCGCAAACAACTAGATGGAAAGCTGCGGTCACTGTACTGGTTATTGGGACGCCAATCACAACTAAATCCTAACAGCAAGATGTTAGTGTACAAAACTATCATAAAACCAATCTGGACTTACGGAATACAACTGTGGGGAACTGCCAGCAACAGTAATATAGATATCCTGGAGAGATTCCAGACCAAAGCTCTGAGAACAATGCTTGGCATCCCTCATTGTATAAGTAATAGATACATATACCTCGACCTCGGCCTAAAAACAGTTCGGCAGGAAATAGCTCAGAACAGTCTGAGATATCAGGAGAAACTGACCGTCCATGTAAACAAACTGGCACACGCTCTGAGTGGAGAAGACGCTCTTCAGCACACCCGGCTAAAAAGAAGTGATATACCGACCCTACATAAAAGATTTACCACTTGACATCAAGAGAGTCGTGTGAAAAGTATTCTCACACAAGTATGGCTCTTGAAGAAAACATAAACAGAGAAATCAAACAAAGAAGTGGCTTCTTGTTGAAAAACAGATTGCCATGAAGCAGACATCAACAAAAAAAAAAAAAAAAAAAAAATTATAAAACCATGATTTCTAATAGATCACATGAAAAATAGAGTTAGCTATCATAATACACTCGGTAAAAGACTCTAGAAAGTTGTGGTTAAAATTGCCAAGAGAAATAATACATACACTTATACATGAACACATGTTAAAAACTTTCTAATTCCTGTAACTTTATCGACTGAAAGTCATTTCTTTTTGCAAACATCAATTCGATGTAAGTACTCATTGAACAATATTTAAAGTTTAAAAATTCAATTTTTAAGGTTAGGAATGTACCTACTAAGTCAAAGAGTTTTGTCGTTTCTCCTTTCACAAATCCTGCGTCCAGCATTAATTTAGTCAATAAAACCAATAACGGGAACCTTTTCTACAAGATACAAGAGTTTTTAGATACATCTGTATAAGAAATAAACATTTTTATAGTTTTTAAGAAAAGTAACGGAAAATATTCTTCTTTATTCTAGTGAATTGTTATTTTACAAATTTGAAAAAATTCAAGAAAATACGTAGATTCTGGGACTAAAGTTAGTAGGTTTGCAGAAAAAGCCCCAAAAATACGTAGATCTACGTAAAAAGACGTAGAGTTGGCAACACTGATGTACAGCGAGTGATATTAATGATATAATCATCAGCCTATTAATGTCCCCATTGTTAGGGCACAGGCCTTCCCTATGGATGGAATAGGGAGATTGGGCCATGTCCCACCACGCGGGCATAGTGCGGATTGGTGGGTGCTAACGACTGCAGATGAAACCGGGACCAACTGCTTAACGTGCCTTCCGAAGCACGGAGGAGCTCGAGATAGTAAATTTTTGGTCACCCATCCAATGACCGACCACTGCGAAAGCTTAACTTCAACGAACACACTAACCACTTGCGCTATCGAGCAGGGAGGTAAATTTATCGGAACCGAAGACGGAGTCGGAGTTTTTAGATTTATCGGAGTCGGAACCGAAGTCGGAGGCAGGCAGCAGGAAAAAAATCAAATATCTAGCAGTTAAATGCTTAAAAAAAACAAAAAAAAAACAACATTTTTTCGTTTAAATTTCCTTATTATTAACGCAGACCCCCAACGCAACGGACCGGTTCGTAACGGTCGACGCAGGCAGCCGTCGCTCTGCGGGAGGGAAGAACTAGCCCCGCATTATAAATGGCTTCCCATCGAGTTAGGGAGTGATGCCCCCAGAGAGAGACGGACGGATTCCTCTAAACGGGTCGAGTCCAAAACGTCCCGCGGTTCGTGCTAATGCACACAAGGGAGTTAGTGCAAAGAGAAGGGTCCGAGAGGGCGCTTTCACGGTTGGGGGTCTGGGACAAAGGCTTCGCTGATACCCTTCCCCCATCATCGTGGGAAGATGGAACCGCAGGAGGTGTTTTTAGTGGGTAGTCACGGCGCGGCGTGAGGAATATGCCCCGTGGAGTCCCACATACCCCCACGGCAGGGCACGGTCGTGGGAAGTGCGTAAATGCATTTTCACCTTCCCAAAAAAAAAAAAAAAAAGGCAGCCGTCGCTATTTGCTATGCTTCGACCTCCGATTAAAACCTCCGATTTAAAAGTTTCGGAATCGAAATCGGATCCGAAGGTGTAATAATAATCGGAAGTTCCGATTTTAACGGAATCGGAGTCGAAGCTCCGTAACATCCCTGCTCGATGCTTCTCATTACTCAGTCTACTACCTTGTATCTGCCTCCCAGGCCACGTGGATTACTACCCCAACGGGGGGGAGCAGCAGCCCAGCTGCCTCATCGACACGTGCAGCCACAGCCGCGCGTGGGAGTTGATGGCCGAGTCGCTGCACGACCAAGGCGCCTTCCCAGCGGTGCGCTGCAACTCCTGGGAAGACTTCAAGAAGGGCAACTGCGATGAGACGAGGTATTTTCCCATTTTTAATATCGTTTTTTGAAGTTATACTTCTTTAGGCGCGTTATGAAAAAATGATGAGAGTGAAATTTTAAGATGCGCGCGCATCACTGTAACACAAAATTTTAATTATTTGCATGCAATTAAAAACTAATTTTAAACGATGCCAAAGAAGGATAACTTCTCACGCGCCTACATAAGTACCACGCACCCATTTTTTTTTTCATTTTACCCATCTGGCCTATTTGTTAACTTTTTTGACATTTACAGTGGTGTCGATTCTGGCATGTTTCTCTAAACCTAAACTTATGCGATGGCGTAGCTAATAGACATTCATGAGTGCTTGTAACAGCCTAAACTGAATAAATAATTTTGATTGTGATTGATTATTATGATTATTTAGACGATAGATTGCTCATAATGACGCTACATCACGACGTGTATCAGTCACTACCTCATCGCCAATGATACCCATATCATAAGATATAAAAAAAAAAGAATTTCTTCTTTTTTTTTTGTTCTGGTCTCTCCGTTCATGAAACGGAAAAGGCAAAGACGACAAAATGCGCCATACAGCCAAGACTAAAAGTAGTTTTCTTTAATCTTCTTGTAGAATCATTCAAAATCCAAGTTTAAATATGTTCTACAGTACTCTTGATGTAATTGTACAGTGCCGAATTTCTTGTTTAAATTGGAACGTCCGTCTGGGGTAGTATCATGGTAGTATTATCCACCTGACAGACGACACTATGGTGTCACAAGCGTCTATCTATTTATTATGGCCAAATTATGGCAGCCACTTACCATATGCTTATCAAAGCAAAATGCTGTCTTTTTCTATTGCAACAGCAACATCACGATTTTATACTGTAACAAAAAACAATAATTTGTTTTTCCAAATTTATAGCGTTTCTGTGTGTCTCCATTCCAGTTACATGGGCATAGCGTCACAGCCCGGCACAAAGGGCAAGTTCTACCTGCAGACGGCCGAATCCAGCCCATTCGGACTGGGCGCTAATGGGACACAGTACGTCAACAACGAGGGAATCATCAAGAACATATTCGGCCGCTAAACTTGTATTGAAATAACAGAGACTTGGAGCCATTTGCACCAAGATTTTAAAAATACAAACTAGTTGAGCCGGCGAACATTGGTGTCGATTCTGGCGTGATTCTCTAAACTTAAAACTGAATTTAACATCAGTCTCTCCTTTTCGTTCTGTATAGAGAATGATAAGGATACACTGTTGTCAAATTTAAGTTTAGATTTAGAGAATCATGCCAGAATCGATACCAATGTTTTGTTACAGAATATATTAAGGACTTTGGTGCGAGTGAGTTCTGATTCACGGGTATGTAAAACCTTCAGCAGTTTTGGACAGAGAACAACTTTTGTTTCCACAGAGTGTAGTAAAATTTTACTTATAATATATTTATAGTTTAAGTAGATGCAATATATTTTTTCTTAGATTCCGACGCGATTCTGTAACATCAAATCCAGACCCAGGCGATATTTTTCAAACTATTTTATTTAATGACCAAATAGAAAAAAACACTACCGTTTTCTGTTAAAAAAAATGGTTGCCTGTAAAGTCGGTTTTACGGGCGAAGATTTTACGTGACAACGTCTTTTTCTCGGTAGAATATTTATTGATATGAATATAATTAAATTGCACAATAGGAACAAGGAATTGAATGAAAATAAGAATTGCACAAATTTTAACTATAGAAATATATTTTGTTTACTAAAACATTGTACATGTAAACTTAAACTTAACACGAGAGACTCATCGTAACGTTACCGAGCGTTACACTTTTTCATAAGTGACTCCCAGCCGCAACCTAACTTAAGACGTTGTCACGTCAAAAAGTCGTTGGGACAGCCAGTGTTATAAACTTTAATAAATTATTAAATATTCCTACAACCTTGGCTTGACAGTTAGATTGTTACAGAATCGACATGCTGGATTAGGAGCGAAATATAACGTTATGATTGCACTTAGGGTTACCATATCTCAGGATTTGTCCTGAGATTTTAGGATTTTTGGACTTTTTTTTTGCAAATCTCATGAAATCTCAGGATTTTTGGAATTTCCAATAAAATACAGCTGACGTATTAAAGATCTCTTTAAAAAAAAGTTATACAAACTAAAAATAATCTTCTATTGGTAATAATTGCACAATTAAAATCAGTTCTTTATTATCCAAGTTAATCTTAAATTAATCAGTTTTATCATACTTAATATGTGAATATACATTTTTAAGTAAGGTTTTTTCTTAATTATGGATTCATATAACACCCCACATTATATAAATTAAATTTAAGAATAGATTTAAAAATATAAGCAGAGTATAAACGATAATATTACGACTTTTTTAAATTGTTTAGTACGTTTGAGCGAAAATTCTCAAACTGTAAAAAAATCAGGATTTTTCAATGGAAATCAAGCCTGTTCTCCGGACTTTTGATTTTATCATCTGGTAACCCTAATTGCACTAGCTGCTAAAGTGCGGATTGTAAATGTTTAGGAAAATTAACCATTACCAAAAGCCTTACACTTATTTTGACGACCTCCGTGGTCGAGTGGTTTGTACGCCGGGTTTCATGGTGTCGCCGACTCGGGAGGTCCCGGGTTCGAATCCCGGTGGGGGCAGATGTTTGTGTGATGAATACGAGCATTTGTTCTCCAGTCATGGATGTTTAATATCTATTTCTATATAAATATACTTATATATGTACCGTATATGTATTCTATCCGTTACCCTAGTATCCCATAACACAAGCCTTACAGTGCTTACTTTGGGGCTAGGCTAATTGGTGTGAGTGTTGGAAATATTTATTTATTTATTTATTTATCTAAGGCTTTTGCATGTTAACCAATTATTTCCTTACGATAAATAGGTAAATTATACATGGCGAATGGGATGAGAAGACGTTGAACTACTTTTTCAGGCGTTTAGCGTTCACTGCTAAACAATCTTAATTGTTATTAGCCAGTTATTTTATTAAATTCAACGTCTATATCATGTTACCTAAAGCAAATATTAAACAGCTGTTTTTTTAATTGAAAATTCAGAATCATTTATTTAGTGTTCTTAGCTGTTACAAGCTCTTGTAAAAGTCAAACGCTATGCCATCATCGGTCCGTAAATCTACAGCGGGAGACCTTGTACTGAGAAGAACCGGCAAGAAACTGAAAAAAAATGTATTGATGTAATTTTTTATTACAATGATAATGACGTCCTAGTTTGTTTAATGATACTGTATAAAAAAATAATGATTCAGTCAATACAAAATGTCATGTTGCAAGAATAAGTTTATCACAGTTACCAAATGACCAAAAAGTTATTTAGGTATAGCAGTAGTCATTAAATTTAAGTATATTAATTAAATAGATGAAATAATATGATGTGATATTTTGCTTTTATTGATCTATGTGTCTCTATTAAAATACGTTTTTAAGTAAGTGTTACGTTTTTTTAAACTACAAACGAAATAATATTTAATTTACGATAAATCACATGTGAAATGTTTAAATCTGTAAACTATTGCCAACTTTCATAATTAAATGTTTGTTAAAACCAGTGTTTTAAGATTAAAACAGAAGTAAGCAGTAGAACTTTGTTACATAATTTGCCAACTTAAGTGATACTTATTGTTTGTTGTGGTATTAAATAAATAAATAATATAAAAATAATAATTACTACTTATTGTTTTATTATCAACAGTTTGTTTCTTTTAGACAATTCTGAGTTTTATTTGCTAAATCTTTGTCAATCTCTGCACAAAAGTTCTTAATACAAATTAATCATGTTTAAGACATGTGGCATCTTACCATCTTTGACATTTGATAAAAGTCAAATAGAGATAAAATATGGCTAAACCATGCATTGTTAGCTTTTTTTTTTCTAAATGGCTTCGCACGGCTTGTGCATTTAGACAATGTCAAGTGTTAAATGTAGGTATACAAATACAATAGTACTCGTGGTCAAAGTAATAAGTCAAGTCAAAGTAAGTGGCAGTCAAGTCAATCCCCCTTTCCCCATGTTTCAGTAAAAGTGTGGGGATTTACTGGAACCTCCCCGTGGACTTCTTGAGGGAACGTCGAAAGACACTTTCCGCTATTTTGTTTCACTTGCCAACACTTGTGCATGTTCCCGAACACTTAGTGGTTAATAATCCACCATTATTAGACACTAACATCCGCCACAATACAATTTTTAACAAGAAAAACAAAACTGCTAAAGATACGCTTCCCGATCCCGCCAAAAAGGCATTGTGTAAGCTTTGAAGTGAGAACTTTTGGTGCAATTTTTTTTTTAGTTCTATGCTTCTCTATTGAGAAAGGTATAGGCATAGCCATGCAGCCATCGTCTTATTTTTGTATTAATCTTCCTTTTTTTACATTAGAATGTGGGTGTGACGCATTCTAATGCTTCTTGGAATGTTTGGCACGAAATATATCGAGTTGGATTTTTCGATAAGCTTCTGTGAGGTAGTCAATACTACAATAAAATTCTCACGTCCACTTGACCGGAATAGCGTATATTTTAAAGATTCCACTAATTCTTCACTTGCGCAGACGGTTGTAACACAAAATCACACCAATTTTATTTCACAATATCCACTATGAACAAATTTAAGAATAATTAAAATAAGATGCCAACCGCACTCGATGAAAGTCCGCCAAAAACTCCATTTTTGGTGCAAGTGGGCCAGTGTCTGACAGTTAATACCGGAAGTGTAAAAGATAACGATGATTTTATTTCGTCTCTAGTACTTCTGGGATAAAGGTAGGCTTGCCAGATGGTCGAGAAATCCGGGATTGTCCCGAATTCAGTAATTATATTGTCGTTATTGTCCCGGATTCCAATAATGTGCTAGTTTTGTAAAAAAATAAACTAATAACGAATGACACCGCTGGCCAGGGCTTAATTGTTTTAATGTTGTTGTTGTTTGCATGTTTTAATTCTGGGATGTGATGGGGGGTTTGATTTTATTATTGACGACCTCCATGGCCGAGTGGTTTATACGCCGGGTTTATGGCGTCACCAACTCGAGAGGTCCAGGGTTCGAATCCTGGTGGGGGCAGATGTTTCTGTAATGAATACGAGCATTTGTACTCCAGTCATGGATGTTTTAATATGTATTTCATATAAATATACTTAACAATAAGTATAATGTATTCTATCCGTTACCCTAGTATCCCATAACACAAGCCTTTACAGTGCTTACTTTGGGGCTAGGCTAATTGGTGTGTGTTGGAATTAAAAAAAAAATATATGTCTTATTTTTGCATGGGGGGGGGGGGGGGGTGTAAATGTAACGGAATTGTTAAGCCAGCATCTGGCAACCCTAGACACAAGTCTCTCTAAACACGGAAATTCCCTGTAATACAACACGCGAGCAGTGTGGATAAGTAGCTAGGCTTAAATAATCGGGATCAACGTGTTGATGTTACTTGACGTCCGAAGCATGAAGGAACAACTCTAATGAAATGTAATTAAATGAAAAAATACGCTATTTAAATTGAAAGCTTATTAAAAGCTCTTTTGAATCGTCCAATATTTTTTTCCTACCATGCTCTTACTTTTGACACAGCAACGATAGACTTCCTTGTGTGAAGAAGTCCTCGCTTCGCTTCGGTGTAGAGCTGTAGTGTAGACTATAGTTTTTGTTCTCAGGCGTGTATTGTACACATTGAATTTATTTATTTAATTCTTTTTCTATGATTCTTTTTTATTGAATAGTTAATAATGTTAACTTTTTTAAATTAGGGATGAGTGTGAGTATTATAAACGTAAGAGTAAACAAATATAATATAATCAGAATGCTCCGAACTGCATGTTATTATGAGTCAACCATAAAAGATAGACATATGCTGTTGCAGGATATTTTTTAGACAATTTTATGTAGAATATTTTCGTCATATATGATTTCTATGTTACTTTAACCATTAAGGCTGCACTCGCGAAGGAAGTCTAAAAAATGGAGTAACTTCTCCCGTTTTCCCAACATTTCCCTTCACTACTCTGCTCTTATTGATTGTAGCGTGATGAAAAGTATACTATAACCTGCCCAGGAGTATGAAGAATAATTGTACCAAGTTTCGTTAAAATCCGTTGAGTAGTTTTTGTTTCTATAAGGAACATACACACAGACAGACAGACAGACAGACAAAAATTTTACTGATTGCATTTTTGGCATCAGTATCGATCACTAATCACGCCCTGATAGTTATTTTGAATATATATTTCATGTACAGAATTGACCTCTCTACAGATTTATTATAAGTAAGTATATAGATAAGTAACTCCGCCGTTGTCGGTCCCAAGCCCGAATGAGAAAGGAGGAGGGTTGGTGTGGAGAATTACCCATGCCGTAAAACTGTCAACGCCGAGTATGGGGCGGCGGTAAATAAACCCGACAACCCTGAGAGGACCTAGCGTTCACAGGGCGGTAACCAGTGACCATGAGGACCTTAATACCCTCTAAAAGACTAACGGCGGAAGGACGTTGGGAACCCACCGCGCTTAACTTCCCATGAAAACCCCCCTTATGCAATCAGAAACAGAGACAGAAGGGAGGTCACGACCTTCAGTAATGAGGAATGCGACTCAAGGAGGAGGAATATAAGTATATATTTATATATACAGAAACATTGAACCTTAAACTACAAACCTTAAAAAATATAATATAATAACTAAAATATATTACTAAAAGGAGTCCCTTTAGGCAAGGTTCCGAAGATACTGGCAGCGTTCCCCCTTTGAATAGCTAGACTAATGCGATGTCCGAGGTAGCTGCCAGCTCTTCGGTCTCCAGTGATGTCGACTAACCTTTTTGATATTTCCTTAAAAAACCTCATAGCGCTAGGACCCCAAAGTTTTTGGAGTTTACTCCTTAAGAATCGATTTGCATATATAAGGGGCCCGGTATGAGAAAAATGTGAGTAGTAAAATCTATCGATGAATGACATTAATGACCTCGTTACGTTTTTGTGCGCAACCTCATCTGCGCACCTTTCACTTTTAGCCATGGCAACGGATAAAAAACATTAAATTGTCACAAATGTCAATAAAATAAATAAACTAAAAATAGATAAAATCGGAGCAAAATTAATGAAAACCAATAAATAACAGAATATAGAGAAATGCCGGTAAGTATCCAGCACTCTGGAATAGTGATTTTCAGTACAGATGGAATAGGGATGATGACTAATTTTTTTTTCTTCGTTTATCAGGTAGATTATCAAGAAGTATTGGACACGTATTTTTTCTTTTTTCACATAATATAAACATTGCAGAGATATATTGATTTGAAAAGTCGCATGACGTCACGTTTGAGTACACTTATAAGTGAAAATTCACTCAAAAGTGACGTCACGAGCCCCTACTCCCAAATTTTGACGCGCTATAACTGTCATTTTTTGGTTGATTGCCCAAAGAAAAAATACGTGTCCATTATTTTTTGATCATCTAACTGACGGACTAAATAGAATTTCGTTTACTGTACCCCGTCATCACCCCTATTATAATACATATTTACAAAATGATGATTTTAAAATTGTGTGTTTCCAGAAATACATAATAAAATATATGATGAATATCGCTGATGTTAGATGATAAAATGTGTGACATGGAACCTATGGTAGTCGAAACCATGGGACGATTCCTGAGGTATCTCTACTTGTAACCGATTTCTTCGGACTTGATTTTGTTTTGTGTCTGTTCAAAGACAATCGTTTTTAGAGTGTAAACACACAATTTTTATCTTTTGTTTGTTATCATTTGTGCGATTGGCCAGTTTCAATAACGTGCATCTATATGGATAAGGCAGAACTATACTTATCTGTCGTGTTGTGTTGTTGTAGGCTTGCTAGATGGCTGGGAAATCCGGGACTGTCCCGGATCGTCTTTCTTTGCATCTTTTCCCGTGTCCAGTAATTAGACCTTACTGTCCCGGAATCCTCGAATAGACTTTACTGCTTGCTTTAGTGAATATGTTATTTATGTATTCTGATTATTTTCGGTGAAATCTTCCAGTGCGAAAAGCAAAGAAATAAAGAAAAGTCCACACAATCTGTTCAGATCGTTTATTTCTAATAATTAATATTAAATAATGTAATGGTTTCTAATCTTCTTTATAAGTATTTGGGTCAATATATAATATAGCATCTGTGACTGTAGTTTCTGAATTCGTGCAGTCAGGCAACGGCTCCGGGGCTGTATGGCGGCGGTGTGTGCACTCAGTGACGTGCCGTGCGACGACACGACAAGTGACGTGCCGTGCGACGACACGACAAGTGACGTGCCGTACGACGTAACGACAAGTGACGTGCCGTGCGACGACTCGACAAATGACGTGCCGTGCGACGACTCGACAAGTGACGTGCCGTGCGACGACACGACAAGTGACGTGCCGTGCGACGTAACGACAAGTGACGTGCCGTGCGACGACACGACAAGTGAAGTGCCGTACGACGTAACGACAAGTGACGTGCCGTGCGACGACACGACAAGTGACGTGCCGTGCGACGTAACGACAAGTGACGTGCCGTGCGACGTAACGACAAGTGACGTGCCGTGCGACGACACGACAAGTGACGTGCCGTGCGACGACACGACAAGTGATGTGCCGAGCGACGACACGACAAGTGATGTGCCGAGCGACGTCACGACAAGTGACGTGCCGTGCGACGACACGACAAGTAACGTGCCGTGCGACGACACGACAAGTGACCTGCCGTGAGAGGAGACGGGATTGGGCGCGGTTAGGCAGCGGCCCCGGATGACTAAAGGCGGTCTGTGCCTACAGTGACGTGCCGTGCGACGACACGACAAGTAATCTGCCGTTAGACGACACGACAAGTAATCTGCCGAAAGACGACACGGGACGGGTGTGGGTCAGGCAGCGGCACTGACCGGCTGTGTGGTATTTGCCCGCAGTTGACGTAACGTGCGACGACACGATACCCGGCGAGTGCCAAACGCGGGCAATCCTGCCACGCGACATACGCCCACCACTGACTCGCGTCTGCAATAATAATAACAGTAGGTAAATCTCGCAAGTCGACTAGCGATATTAACTTGAATTGTATTGACTTTTGCAATCGCAAGGTTGCAAAAGTCAATACAATTCAATTCAATTCAAAAATCATGTTTTCAGTTTAGGCTTTTACAAGCACATGTCAAAGTCGAAAACTACGCCAACGGTTCGCAAAACTATGGCGGGAGACCTTGTATTGAGAAGAACCGGCAAGAATATCAACAAGGGCTGCTTTTTTCTCCCTGTTTTATTTCATACCAGCTGTGCCCCGCGGTTTTACCCGCAGTTTATTAGGGATATTTTCCCGAAGTAAAACGTAGCCTATGTGTTAATCCAGGGTGTCAGCTAACTCCATAACAAATTTTATTAAAATCGCTCCAGCCGTTTAGACGTGAAGAAGTAACAAACATACACACTCACACACGCACAAACTTTCGCCTTTATAATATTAGTGTGATAGTGTCGTTAAATTGACAGCTGACATCAAACTTGCAAAATTACATTTTGGTCGAGTTCCAACGCGAGCTTAGGCAACCTAATAAAAGACTGTCTAGACGTTGGACAAGTTTGAAGAAAACCAATGAGAGTGGCCAATATAGATGGGCTTTGTGGAGCTGTCCATACGTTGGTGAACTATTAGTTATTATGGACGACGTGTGAGAAATGTTGGTTAACAACAGCCAGTGCTGACAAGTGAGGCCAAATGAGGTCTATACATTGTGGCACTTCACTTTACTCGGCAAATTAGGCGAGCGACTCCATGCGATGACAAGGCAAGACAAATATACTGTCTATATGTTGGTATTGGCCAACTTGTTGTAACTGCAACTGATTTGTGACCGGATGCTACAGAATTGCGAGTAAAGATCACACCCAAAATAAAGCTAAACAGCTAGGAAAATCGCCTAAGCGTTTTAGATTTAACATTTTTCCCAATTTTATAGATTGCCCTCAAGTACTGAGCCTGGTAAATCTCAGGATCTCGTTTCGCCATGGGCATCACAAACTTTTAACAGCAACCAATTTTAATAGTTCTGAACAGAACATAATTTACCTGAAGAAAATGTTGTATTCCACGCTGTACTTCCACAGCTTCTTGCAGGCCAGGCTTCAATGAAGTGTACACAACAACCAATAATAATTTTTAATGATTACAATCCAAATGCCTGAACAATATATGGTGTTCTACACTGCACTACCACAGCTTCTTGCAGGCCAGGACTCAATGAAGTGTACACAACAGCCTAGGTTAGTTATCATCATCATCAATCATTCATCAACAGCCTATCTTAGTCCACTGCTGGACATAGGCCTCTCCAAATGCACGCCACTCAGATCGATCTTGGGCTACTCGCATCCAGCTCCTGCCAGCCACCTTGCGCAAATCGTCACTCCATCGTGCCTGAGGACGTCCTACACTACGTTTGGCTAGCCGCGGTCTCCATTCCAGAACTCGTCTACCCCAACGGTTATCGGTTCTTCGACAAACATGGCCAGCCCACTGCCACTTCAACTTGCTAATCCGGTGGGCTATGTCGATAACTCTGGTTCTCTGTCGGATTACCTCATTTCTGATGCGATCCTTCAGAGAAACGCCGTACCGTCAGTGTCCACGTCTCGGCTCCGTATGTCTCCGTATTATAAGTGATTTGAATCCAAATACCTGAAGAATATATGGTGTTCTACGCTGCACTTCCACAGCTTCTTGCAGGCCCTGGTGGCGGGCAGCTTGAAGGCGAGCTGCGTCTCGAAGGGCTCGAACTCGCTCGGCCGCAGCTTGAGAGTGTACAGCCGCTTGTTGTACGAGATCTTAGTGATCTTCGCCCATGGGAAGCGGTTCATTTGCACTCTGGAAAAGTGGGGAAATAAATTGAGAATTTCAAAACCCTAATGTGTGATTCTTGGGACTAACGTTCTTCGCATCAGATCCGCTCTTATTTTATTTCATAATTGGAAAAAACTAAAATTATTTGGCTAAAGAGGGCTGAAAAACAAATTCTGTAAATGAGGCACACACGTAGACCTTATAGATTCTTGAAAAAAAAAGAAATTGTTTTGGCTCGTCACGGATCTGACCAAGGGCATCACGGATCTGACGAAGTATATGTAATGGCGTCGCCTGTTAGAATGCTGCAATAAAGAAAATTATAAATAATACATCATTATAGCAGAAGTAATCAGAAGTTTTAATTTTTTTGATTTTTTTACATCCATTGCATATAAAATATTAAAAAAAATGGATGCGTGTAACTTATGTACGCGCGTGAGAAGTTATACTTCTTTAGCATCATTAAAAATATTTTTTAATTGCATGCAAATAATTAATAATTACAATTAAATTAAGTTCAGTTTTAATTTGAAAAATTAAATAAATATTCAAAATATTCAATTAAAATCACTACTGAATTTAGTTATTAGTCCATATGTAATTAGCACTTGTAAGTAACTAAAACACGTTGTGTCTATATAGAAATAAGAAACATGTGGATAAATATTATAAATATGAAAACAGTGATCAGAGGCGACGAGCGTGCCAACATGGTTTTTGACAACGCGATCATCTTATGGAGCTCCATGGATCGTTCAAAGTACCTTTCGAAGAGATGTCTAATTAGACACTAACATTCATAACGCGCCCGCGGCCAACTTCATGGTGTTACTATTGTGTTACAGTGATGCGCGCGCATCTCGAAATTTCACTCACATGATTTTTTCATAACGCGCCCGCGGCTAACTTCATTATGTTACTTTTGTGTTACAGTGATGCGCGCGCATCTTAAAATTTCACTCTCATAATTTTTTCATAACGCGGTATTCAAAAATAATGAATAAACTACTTTGGTATTTAAAGAAAATATACATATAATTACACCAGTTAATATTTCAATGTGACCCTTAAAATCATGGGTCCCACGAATCACCCTAATATACCAAGTCCTTATTGGTTACTCATAAAGTTATAATGCAAATCTATCCTTGTCTCACCCGTCTCGGTAGACAGAGATGCCGTTAGCGCAGACGGCCAGAACTATATCCACATCTTCGGAATCCTTCGCGCAGTGCAGTTCAGCACCGTACAAGGGTATCTTTTTGGCGTTCTCCAGGTAATTCAGCTCTGCTTGTGCAGGGGTTTGACCTCTGTCAAAGAGAAACACTAACATAATTTTTAAGAATATATTCATCTACATGCCTAGTTTTTTTGTGTTCTGTGAAGTATTGTGTCTAACTGTGAGTAAGGCTTCCAAGGCTTCACGGGGTAGATAGTATTGAGTTTAGGCTAGCATGGTGGGTTGTGAAGAATTGTCGATTCCATGCGAGTGAAGAAGCGAGGAGGTTACTTCGGTAGGGAGCTCGATGGTGCAAGTGCTGATCGAAGAAGTTAAGTAACCTTTGCAATGGTCGGTCATTGGATGGTTGACCAAAACTTATCATATCGAGCTGCTCCGTGCTTCGGAATGCATGTTAAGCCGTAGATTGCGGTTGCATCGGTAGTAGTTAGCACTCACCAATCCGCACTGGGTCTCGCCTCGGCCTTATTCCATCCATAGGGAAGGCCTGTGCCCCAGCAGTGGGGACATTAATAGGCTGATGATGCTGATGGATTTTCAACTTACTGGTGGCGTCGGTACAGCTGATCGATGTCTTCACACAGTGCCGCAGTAAGCACTCGAGGGGGGGCAGCACGCAGGTCTGTGAGTGTGGCGGCAGTGAGGGGGGTAGTTGTGAGGTCGCCGAGTTCTGCTTGCGCGATGTAGGACGCGAGCACCGCGTACGTTATGTCCGAGCAGCGGAGGCGACCTGCAAGCAAGATGGTATGACATTAAATGAAATTCTATTTTATTCAAATTGACCTATTGAAACCCCTATTACAATAGCAGTATCCTTACTAATATTATAAAGGCGAAAGTTTGTTTGGATGGATGTATGGATGGATGTTTGTTCCTCTTTCACGCAAAAACTACTAAACGGATTTTAATGAAACTTTACAGTAATGTAGCTTATAGATCAGAATAACACATAGGCTACTTTTATCCCGAAAAAAATGTTAGGTTCCAGAGGGATTTCCAAGAAACTTAGTTAACGCAGACGAAGTCGCGGGCGACCTCTAGTTATATATAAAGAACAGTTTATTTTGCAGCAAATTTTCTTTGTTACCTTCCATCAGGTCCCTCCTGACGGCCAGGCTGAGCTGGTAGCGTGTACCATCATCCTGCAGCTCTGAAGGTTCTGGCGGGTAAAACTTGACAGCCAGTCGCACGTCCCAAGGTTCATCTGATACAAAACATTAAATGAGATATAGAAATATCAGACAACCCGTATGGGGACTTCCCCATGGGTTTACTTAATCCCTAACAGAAAACGATATCGTCATCATCATCATAATAAGCCGATGGAAGTCCACTGCTGGACATAGGCCTCCTCTAGGGATTTCCAAACACAACGATTGTTTTTTCGATGACGGCATCATATCATGCATTATATCCACGACAATGACCAATGTCGTGTATGTAATGTCAATGTAATTGCGTGGTGCATGCGGCCGACGGCGTGCAGCCCGAAGGCCACTAGTCGGTGCGGGTATACTTTGATATGCACTCACGCAAGCGTGGCAGACGTTAAGCCATCTCGCCTCCAACCAGCAGCCCGGCCCGCACCCGTTTCAGCCGATTCTGGGCTCTCCATTCACAGCGTCACCTGACTAGTCTCACAGACCACAGTCCGAGCGGCTGGACAGCCTATCTGCTCCCGTACCTACCAGGTAAACCAACTCCCCGATCTACCCCTCACCCTCCAGGCGTAACTGAGAGATCCAGTTATGTGTCGCCGCTTGTCGCTCCTGCACTTTCCGCATCCAGTGAGTTCCCTGACTCGCATGATGACAGAAAACTACATCAAACACTAATTTTAGTAGTGTTCAACACGGATACCTAGTCTGTTTTAGATAGTGCCTACATCTGCAGATGCTGCAGGAACCAGCGAGTTCCAGATAAACCATTTTTGGCCAGCCATCCTATGAACGGCCATGCTTGCTTAGCTGTTTAACTTCCACGATTGGAGACCGTATTTGTAAGTGGGTGTGATTAAACGACTTTAATGTACCTGCTATGCACTTAAGAATGCGGGTTTTTATTTATTATACTTTTAAAAAAGTAAGTAAGTATACAAGCATCATGTCGCTAGAGTAACCTCAGGGAATCGGGCGAAACCCTGTTGTAAATAGCCTTTTTCCTCGACACGGACCTCTGGGGGGATAGACCATTTAATGAGGGCTATCGCGTATGAATCCGCCGCTAGAGGCGCTAGTGTAGCGTGAGGTCTCCGAAATGTCAAATGTTATTGCTTGTTGGTTGACTACGCGGGTTTATTTCTAATTAAAATAATGTTGTGAATAATTGGTAACAATATTAATTAATTAGGCTTAATTATGGCAAATATGACTTATGTGGCAATGAATGTCAGTTACTCAAAATTTGAGCTTAGAAAAATGATTATGTTCCCATTTTTTCCGAATAAAACGGAACTGCGCGTCACTGTGGCATGGCCTATTATGTTTAGGATATGGTTCTTTTGTGTTAAAATACGATCTAAATGTAACCTTTGATTTCATGTGCGTATTAATAAACTTTAAAAGTTACAATTTAGGACCTCACTCAACAGTGGCGCCATCTGGTGAGGCAGAAAACGGTCATTGTCCATTACTCGTGGGAATAATATGGCAAAAACTACAAAAAGGAAAATTATCTTTGATAATCCGGAGCGGCAAAATTTCTAGATCGGGCCCTGCGCAAACTTACTTCGGAAGGTCTTTGACAGCCGCCTGTTGAGGTCCACCCAGACGCGAGGGTCACCGCGTTGCTGATGCAGCAGCCCGAAGTAGTCGCCCTCCACCAGATCTAAGGACTGGCAAACCTTATCCAATAGGTCAGAACCTTTGGCCTTTCTCTGTAAAAAGAAAAGGGGTTTCTGAATTGGTATTATGATATGATGTAAAATTTAAGAACCCCTCAACTATGTAAGCTAAGTGGCCGTCAAACCGCCATTTTGTTTTTCACAGACGGGTTTTTTTTGGTTCCCGCGCTTCACAAACTCAAGTTCTACTGTAGATCCAGGCTTCATTTATGTCTTTTTTTCCTTTTTTGAAGTGGCGTGGCTTGATATTTTCATCACTACTCCCTAAGATCACTACTCCATAACCACGAAAGACCAGCATATGCTGCATGGGCTACTTTTTTACCCGATTGCGCGAGTCGAAAGAGCGCGAAGCGAGACGCGCAGACAGGGTTATAATAGTGTTTAACAGTTTATATATGTATGTTTATTCCTTTGTAGCACACTAGTTAGTAACTATGTATATGTAAATGTTTAATCATAATCATAATCTTTATTTACTAAAAACACGCATAAAGTGGATTGAGCACGTGTTTTGTCATTTTAAAAATGGCATGCAAAATACAAAAAAAAAAAAAATAGTTACTTATTTATAACATTTATCTATAGAATTATGAATGACAGAGTTACCTAACATATGTCAATAAAATATAGAATGTCAACATTTTAATATTACAAGGTATCTAAATGTCAGATAAAAAAAAAGATACATTTATCATAATTATTATTATAGGATACGTTAAAACATGTCATAAATATTTATAATTAAAAAATCTCTAAATGTAATTTGTTATTATAACAGCGTTGAAGAGACAAATAAACACAGAGTAAAAATATTTATTATTTATCCCATGAATGAAGGAGGGGCTGGTTTGTTGCAATCTTGTTAGTACAGATGTTCCAAAATTGTATAGAATTTACATACAAAATTAAACGTTGTTCAAACAAGCAATGCTATTGACGTTATTACCAGTTTAAAATTATCTTTTGCGAAAACCATCTGTTAAACAACAAGATGGAAACGTGCGTAAGCTTTATTAGAGGCCACTATACTCGAGTAGTATGACGTGAATCTATACAATATTGTTGAAACATAAATCTTCGAGTGATCCATTCTACCTTGTACCTACTTACTATGAAGACTATTTCAGTAACATGCTCATAAAATAGAGCATAAACGCAAAGTGTATCAATATTTTACGAGTAGTTTTACGTCTACTGTATTCTAGATGTCATAATAATTAAGACATTTGTTTTAACATTTATACTATTATGCTGAAGAATAAAGTCCTAAATCCTACGCACTATGCACCTTGCTGGATCTAGCATGAGGGACAACGCTATACATATAAAAGAGATGGAGATACAGGATCTCTTAAGGTGCGCTCCGACGGTGTGTGTTGTCGCGGGCGTGTATTATCGTCTATCAATAGTAAAATAGTTTAAAGTCCTCTACGCACTATCCATCTTGCTGGAACCAGCATACGGGACAGCGCTTACACGATTTAACATGCGGTCCGACGGTGTGTTTGCCGGGGGCGTAGCCGCGCCTCGCAGTTTTGCCTAGGGTATGAGAACTCTTCCATCTGACATTTAGCAGTCTCTATACATGATACGAGGTAAACAAAATCTCGTACACTTTGTGACATCATTATGAAACTCTACTTACTGAGTTGATGCTTTGTGGACTGAACATTTATTTACTTTCTTATTTTATTTTTGGTTGTGTACATGACACAGACAGTCAACATTGTTAAAATCTAATATCAAAGTGAACGAGATTTCTATTTACCTCATTTCATGTACAAAGACTGCTAAATCTCAGATGTAAGAGTTCTCTTACACTTGGCAAAACTGCGCGGCGCGACCGCGCCCGCGACAACCCACGCCGTCGAACCACACCTTTAAACGTCCCACAGTCCCGTATGCTGGATCCAGCAAAATGCATAGTGCGTAGAGGACTTAAAACTATTTTAGTATTGAATGCGGTGGTTAAATACGTGTATAGTGTATTGTTCTGGCTGCGCCACCACCAGGGCCAACTTTAGAGGTCTGGGGACCCTGAGGCAATGAAGGAGAGAAGGCAGCAAATCTTGCACCCGGGGCATACGATTCATACGATTTGCAGGCGCCATAACTATATTGATATGCGGAAACGCCCGTAGCACGGAAGAAGAAGAGGTGGTGCAGAATAGTTAGGGGGCGTCCATAAATTACGTGAGATGTTTAAGGGGAGGAGGGGGGGAGTCAAATCTCATCTAATCTTACGTTGGAGAGAGGGGGGGTCTCGGCAAATATCACGCAATTTTTTTGAAGTTATACTTCTTTAGGCGCGTTATGAAAAAAATGATGAGAATGAAATTTTAAGCTGCGCGCGCATCACTGTAACACAAAATTTTAAAATGCTTTAGCGACCAACTTCATGCGTTACTTTTGTGTTTACCGCACATTAAGAAAATCTACCAACAAAATAGAAATAGAATCCCTATTTAGTGGGTGCTAACGACTGCATTGTGAAGGCCTATCAAAAGTATTTATTAATCTGGAGCAACGGAACCAAAGCGCGATTCAGGAGACTACAGCGCCATCTCTTGACCATTGGTGTAGTAGAACCAAAAACCACATCTTTATTTTTTGTAATAAAGTAACAGTTATAGGTATTAATATTTATAATATCAAAAGTATTTATTAATCTGGAACAACGGAACCAAAGCGCGATTCAGGAGACTACAGCGCCATCTCTTGACCATTGGTGTAGTAGAACCAAAAACCACATCTTTATTTTTTGTAATAAAGTAACAGTTATAGGTATTCATATTTATAATATTTATCCACATGTTTCTAGTTTGTATATTCGGAATACGTGTTTGAGTTTCATACAAGTGCAAATCACATATGTTCTAATAAATTATATTCAGTAGCGATTTTAATTGAATATTTTGATTATTTATTTATTTTTTCAAATTTAAACTGAACTTTATTGACTGTGTCCTTTTCCAGACTTTTTATTAATTTATTGTAATTAATTATTTGCATGCAATTTAAAATTAATTTTAAACGATGCCAAAGAAGGATAACTTCTCAAGCGCCTACATAAGTACACGCACCCATTTTTTCACAGTAGTATCTATTAAGTATTCTATTGTTAAATTTTTATTACACTTATAACTCTCATCAATATTGATTACTAGTCTTAACTAGTCGTAAATAAAAGCACGAAGCATTTTTTAACTTTTTACAATAACAATCCAATGCGTTTACATAAGAAACCCACATTTTGAAAAATCTCACGTGAGATTGGGGTATGGGGGAGGGGGTTGAATAAAATCTCACGACATCTCACCAGGGGGGGAGGGAGGGACAGAAAATCCAAAAAAACACCTCACGTAATTTATGGACGCCCCCTTACACACGTGAAGGTCCATATTGATGAACTCTTCGTTAAGCAGCTCGACTCACAAGCGCCTTCTCCTGTCATCCTCCAAAGCGAGTCGGCGCAGAATCTTGCGCATTGTTCACACACGCCTGGTGGTGTGGTAATCTTAGTATCTACATATGTGGTGGTGTAGTAGGGATAATGCGATTCAAATAAGAATAGGAAGCCAATGACCTCCATCTGTCAAATGCCGCCTTAAAAGTACGGTTTGCAAAAAAATCTCGGAACACTTTTTTAGCACTCAGCTGATTCTAGAATAAAAACCAAACATTTTTATACAAACAATAACAAATGTTGATAATTAATATTAGTTGCTTTTTTTTCATTTATTTAGCTTTGGCTATGAATGGTTGATAACCTAAATCGTCAACCAAATGTCACTTTATGTTGCGTTCAAAAACTCGATTTTAGTTTTAGAAAACTTTTGTTTACATATAGGATGCATGTTCGTATGTGACCTGCATGATTATTCATAAGTTCTCCGGCATTCTTATTAATGTATTTTTTTTTTCACACAGTCTTAATAAAGAAATACTATTAAAAATCGATTGTGTTCTTTCTCAACCTTAGTAAATTAATTTTATTAAAAAATCTGATGTTTTGTCTCACTTAATCTTAGTAAATAAGTTTCATTAAATAGCAACATTTTTTTGCTTACTCTACCTATTTGGTTTGAATTGACAGCTATGACGTCAAAATATGGCGCCCAGTCGATCCTATTCTTAGTTGAATCGCATTATACTCACGTTAAGGTCAACGTTAATGAACTCTCCGTCAAGCAGCTGGACTAGCACGTACCTTCCCTAGTCCTCTTCCGACGCGAATCGGCGCAGATTTTTGGTACTGTAGAGTTCTACCCAGAAGGGATAGAACCTGGGAGCGTAGATGTTAATTGAAAGATACTGATAGAGATAAGTTATTTATTTTGTTTTATCATTCAGGCTAATATAAAAGTATTTTATCTAAGTACGAGAGGAATTCTTGGCGCCTGAAGATCTAATCTTCAATGGAACCTTCTATCAAAAGACAGACGATTCCTTATTTCAAATCTTAAAATCATGACATTAACTTTTTAATATAACTGCCAACCGTAGGCATTGCAAAAGAAAAGAGTTTACCTAAACAAGGAGGTTATAACGTCTCGGACGTTACATCCCTCCGGCACCTCTAAAAAAAAAATTGTTTTGTCATACCAGATGACCGAACAAATTTTTTTTTTCCTACCTACTACATCGAGAGGGTTCGACGGTCCTATCTAAAATCCCTACCTGCTTAAGGACATAAATACAACTGGGAGGTGGCCTTTACTACAGACTAGCCCTCACAATAAGTTTGCAAAACTTGCAAAAAAAAACTTTACGGGAAAAGATCCCTAACTGTTTGCAAAGTTTTATTGCAAAGACTTTACGGGAGCAAAACCTTAACAAAATCCCTCGCACATCTCCCTCCTAACCTTAACTTTACTTTACTTTACATCGACATCAGTCGGCAAAAACAAAAAAACAAAGCTAACCCTAGCTATAACTTAAATTACCCAAGCAATTTTTATTTTATCCCATCTATCAGCAAAACTTTACCCCATCCCATTTATGAAACCATTAAATATCAAGAAAATTTATATTTTGAAACTTCATTACTTCCCATACTAAGTAGATGTACGAAACGAAATTCAAACTATTTCCTAAGATTCGTAAACATTAACTGGATTTGAGCAAAACCTAAAAGAATTTATAATTAATGTTTACTTTCGTACATCTTTAATAAAGATACAGACGTGATCCACCACTTTATTGTCTTGTACTTTATTAGACACCCATGATGCGCAAACGTAATAGAAATTTTGGGTAAGGACATCTAGCATCAAACAAGATTAAACCCAATTCCCATGGAATACTAAGGGTTCCCTACCCCCAAGTCAAACTACTACAAGTGACGATTTTGACGAACGCGACGCGACCAAATTGAAACGAAAACGACGCGAATTCGTAGAGGGTGTCTCCATCATCTTCAGGGTGGATCATCGTCAGTATCGCTGACGTCTGCATGAGCGCCAGCCTGCTCTCTCTCGGGAAGTCCGCATCATGTGGTAGTACATAAAACAATCAAGAAAATATTAGTAAAATTCTTTACACCATTTTTCTTCAGTCGGGTAAGTTAATATTCATGAAAACATTAAGTTTATGATAAGTCTTTATACCATCTTTTCATAGTTGGATAAATTTTCAAAATTTAACATTATTATTCATTTATTTATTTTTTAACCTTACAGGGAATCGAACCCGTTTCCTTTTTTATAATAAGGGAATTTTCTTTATGGACCTATATTATCCTATTATACATGATTAACTATATATATTCTATCCTAATACTGAATTAATCCTATCAATGATCATATTCAAAGTCAATTGAATAATTCCAAGTTGAACAGAGAATCGAACCTGTTACCTATCATTTTTATGGTTATTACGATATCAATAATCCACCTACTCAACAAATTACACTAAAGCTAACAATTAAAAGAAATGAAAATACTTTAATGAAACTACCTATTGATCTGTCATAAACAAAATGTGTAAAAGTTCCTTATAATATGTGTATTGAAAAAAATTTCTAATAAAATGACAAAGTTATATTTAATATGCTTTTGAAATAAAATTCTAAAATGACTATTGTATTAAACCTTATTTACATACCACCATTGCTTTAAAACATTCATATAAACAATAAACTGAAATAAAATCTCATTAGTAACACATTATTATTATTGTACTATCAACCTATTCGGTATAATATAAATTTTCATCATACACCGAATTATCACTATTCCTTTCATTATTCTTTTCTATATATTGTCTTTTAAACTTGCACTTAATATGTTTGATTATTAATTGTTCATTATAAAAGTCTACTATCGCATTATTTCGAAGTAAGAAATCGTGTCCTAAGATGAGGTTATGCCTAATATTCTCTACCACAAGAAAATCGTGAATAAATAACACATTGTCTATCAATAATTTAAGGTTAACTTTCCCTATAACAGACAATTCTTTACCATCGACAGCTTTCAACTTCATATCGCTTTCATCAATTCGTTGATGAATTCTATTAACTGTGTCCTTCGACACCACAGACACTGCAGCACCACTATCAATGAGCCCTACAAACTTCTTATCACGACACGTTATATTAATTAATGGTTTGGACTCACTTGTATGCTGATTGTTGTTTTCTGACGGTTGGGAATGAAAATCTTGTCCATCAGCCATCGTCATAACATTTTCTTCATAAAAAAATTTCTTTGGATGTTTCTTCTTTAGTTTTTTCTTTTTGTTCGTGTTACTGGAACAAAAAGTGCGGGGAATCATGTGTTCGGGAGGGACAATGGGATGAGAAAGGACACTTTGGGAGGAAATGAAGTTGATTTCCTTCTCTTGTTCTTCTTCATGCCTTATTATAGGCGAAGTTTGTTATTGGTGTAACAAACGATGGTTGGATCGGCAGATTCCAACAAATTTCGGCACTTTCGTCTCCGAAAATATCCTGTGCTTGACGTAAAATATTTTTTAAATGTGTTTTATCACTATATAACTGAAATGCGAAAAGATTTTTTGTATTTAAATTCGCATTTTTCAAGAACTGTCTAATGAAGCATTTGTCATCGATGACAGCTCCCACTTTTGTGGCCAGCTCATCCAATATATAAAAAAAGGTCAATGGCTCTTCTGACAAGCCTTGTCTTCGTGAGAAAAATTTTTCCAACGCATTTATCGATGATGGAAATTCCTCACAAATTTTCTTTTCTAAAATCTGAAAATTCTCACAAGACTCGTTAATTTTTTTATAGAACAACAATGCAGGTCCACTTAAATATGCCGACAACACAACTCTTTTTGTATCCTCGTTGAAATTATTGATGGCGGCGATGATATTAAATTGACGAAAGAAATCAGTTACATCACCTTTTCCGTCGAATGTGGTCCTGGTCTCCATCTTTTTAAAACTATTTCTTTCTTGATTTAAAAATATACTTCACTCGCGGTATTAGAATCAACGCGGCGCGTCCACCATGTAGAGTTCTACCCAGAAGGGATAGAACCTGGGAGCGTAGATGTTAATTGAAAGATACTGATAGAGATAAGTTATTTATTTTGTTTTATCATTCAGGCTAATATAAAAGTATTTTATCTAAGTACGAGAGGAATTCTTGGCGCCTGAAGATCTAATCTTCAATGGAACCTTCTATCAAAAGACAGACGATTCCTTATTTCAAATCTTAAAATCATGACATTAACTTTTTAATATAACTGCCAACCGTAGGCATTGCAAAAGCAAAGAGTTTACCTAAACAAGGAGGTTATAACGTCTCGGACGTTACAGTACCAACATCTGTGGTGGTTAGTGTTGCCAGGTCCGATTTGTTTTAAATCAGTACATGAGGTCAAAACAATCGGGATTTAGGGTTGCAGATCGGGACAGTAAACAAAAAACAAGGGGTTTGTAAGTCTGGGTTTAATTTATTTCGTTTTAAACTACAATTGCAACTTTAGTATTATATTAATTACCTAAATTTTTTTTTGAATAATCGGGACATTTAGCGTCCCTATCAGGTACAAATCGGAATGCGTCGCCAGACAGACCCCTGAAAACGGGAACGTCTCGCGCAAATCGGGACACCTGGCAACACTAGTGGTGGTAGTAAGTGCTACCACAGTTTTTGGCGTGTAGGTACTTAAAAAATTGTATATTTAGGGGATTTTAGGGGAATTTAAAAAATAATTAGGGGTAAATTTTGGTAAGGGTTGGTAACACTGCCACGGTACCGTGACTATACTCACGTGAAGGTCCACGTTGATGAACTCCCCGTCGAGCAGTTCCACTCGCACGCGACGCATGCCGCCTGCGCTAGCGCCGCGCTCGCAATCCTCCTCCGACGCGAGCCGGCGCAGACTCTCGCGCATTGTTTACTGGACAGACGCCTGCAAATTTTCAATTATTATGTTTAAATCTAAAAAAAAAATTTAATCTAAAAAAATATAACAATTATTATGTTGTTCAGGAGTTCGATGGCCAGTGCCGTCTTTCCTATTGGAGGCCCTGGGCATATTAGGATAATGGGGCCCCTATGACCCCCGTTTGGTGATTTAACAGGACTAGGGACTTTGTATTTGATCTGGGGGGCCCCCTATCGATCGCGGGGCCCTGGGCACTTGCCCAAAGTGCCCACTAGGAAAGAGGGGCCTGTCGATGGCTCAGGTGATTTGCGCATTCGGCCTGTGATCGTGAAAGTTAAGCAACTTTCGCAATGGTCGGTCATTGGATGCGTTTCAGTAGGCACGTTAAGGAGGAGCTCGATGGCGCAACTGGTAAGCGCGTTCGGCTGCGATCGTTGAAGTTAAGCAACTTTCGCAGTGGTCGGTCATTGGATGGGTGACCAAAAATTTACTATCTCGAGCTCCTCCGTGCTTCGGAAGGGACGTTAAGCCGTTGCTCCCGGTTGCATCTGCAGTCGTTAGCACCCACCAATCCGCACTGGGCCCGCGTGGTGGGTCATGGCCCAATCTCCCTATTCCATCCATAAGGAAGGCCTGTGCCCCAGCAGTGGTGACATTAATAGGCTGATGATGAGGCACGTTAAGCCGTTGGTCCCGGCTGCATCTGCAGTCTGTAGCATCCACAAATTCGCACTCTCAGTCTCCCTACTTCATCCATAGGAAAGGCCTGTGCCCCAGCAGTGGGGGTATTAATAGGCTGATGATGATGTTTTTATGCTTGGGTGGCAATGGCAAGTCGTGCACAAATGTCTCGATTACGGGCGTGTCACCACCAAGTTATTATTGCAATGAAAGTAACAACCTGCTAAATATGGGTGGTCGTTCTCTATGCACATTGAAAGTCAATAAGAAAATATCTCTGTTAGGTTGCATCGACCTAACAAAGGTTATTATCCCACGCCCATCGTGTCAGATAAATAAAAACGATATCTCTGTCTGGGTCTGGGTGAACATTTTCTCGTTTAATATCATTTTCTCTATAATTTCTTAGTTAGAAACTCAATTTATATGAAATGAAATGAAAAGTCATTTATTCAGTCTAGGCTGTTACAAGCACTTGTGAAGGTCAAGAAGCTACGCCATCGGTTCGCAAATCTACGGCGGGAGACCTTGTACCGAGAAGAACCGGCAAGAAACTCAGCAAGGGCTGTTTTTTTCTCCCTGTATTGATATATACAGAGTCGTCAGGTTGAAAAATGACTTCAGAGATACTTCTGAAGTCACCTATAAATAGAGAATTCATATTTTATTTTTAAATAATCTTTTTTTTTGCATGTCTCATGTCTTGTTATTAAGGTACTCATTCTAGCGTTTATTCGGCCTAATTTCACATTCGGAAAACAAGAGTGATATAATTATGATGAAGATGATATACTTTTGTATTAACACCATAACAATATAATGGTGCAGATTCTGGCGTGATTCTCTAAACTTAAAACTTTAACATCAGTCCTTCCTTATCATTCTGTATAGAGAATGACAAGGATACATTGTTGTCAAATTTAAGTTTAGATTTAGAGAATCGTGCCAGAATCGACACCAATATTTTGTTAATACTGTTAAGTACCAAATTATTTAACGCTGTGTAGGTTTTTTCGCTAGTTTTTCTCCACAGCTAAAAAAATCCTGAACTTGTGGTAGGGGAAAAAAATTGGACGATTTAAAAGAGTTGTACAGTGCATCCAATTTGAATAGAGATTTTTTGACATTTAACTTTTTGACATCATGCTTTAGACGGAATGACCCCCAACAAAAAACTTTGTACCGCAGGTATGGGATTGTTTGACGGCAGCCCCCCCTTGTAGATAGATAGATAGATAAATTCTTTATTTCACACATACAAAAGAATACAAAAATAAGAAAACAATAACATAATGTGGGCAAAGGCGGCCTTATCGCAATATGGGCAAAGGCGGCCTTATCGCTTTAAGCGATCTCTTCCATCTCTCTCTTGCCCTTGTAGTTCTGTCCTGCAAAGAGGGAGGCGGCGCGGAGGGAGCTACACGGGCACGCCCAAGTAGCCCTCCGCAGCGGACGGGGGGCGATACGGTGGGCACTAGGCCGCGTACTCAGCCCCCGCGCGCGGGCCATCCTGCGCACTGTTAGACGGAGCACTTAGTTAGATTTAAAAAAAAAAAAACTTTATTTGCTCACAATCACTTTATTATATATTTATATTTGTTATTACACTGCTATCACTTTATTATTCACTACTACTTCCTTTTAGTTTTAAGGATAACGACTCGCGACGGGCTAGTTTACTAGGCCGTTGAATAGTTCCTCAGAGTTTCCTTGCTGAAGGCCAACCGGCAGGCAGAAACCAGGTCCGTTGTTGGGCAGCAATTCCACAAATCAGAACAAGACTAACTGTAAAATTGAAATCGCGGGTTTTTATACAAAAAATATTGCTGATCACAAATTTAATATTGGAAATAATTATTCATTATAGTTTTCCTAAGTCAGCAACATTTCTGTAGTAGGCATTAGGTAGGCAGGTTATAACAGCACGTCTGCGGGGTCCCCGCGATACCAAGCGTGACCCCTGCCACGGAGCCCCGGCAAGGCCGGGAGGTTGCTAGGTGCGGAGACGCGGAAGAATCCCAAAACGGGGATCCCGCGGCTTGGCGCTAAGCAGCTTAGAGGGTATTCGCAGGGTTTTTTAGCGGATATTACGCCATAAAGCGCCCGAAAGGGTTACGGGGTCCTCAGTGGGCAGCCACTGCTGGGGCTCGTTAAGCTTGCGGGAGCCAGGTGTGAGGTCCGTTCGGCGGTGTGTCTCTTAAAGGCGCCGTCGTCTGTAAATAGTATTTTTTGCCTGCGTATAAAAAAAAGTATAAGATTGTTTCGTTTCTTTTATTTCCAGTAGCACCAAGTAGTAAAATGGTGAGATGAGACTGAGTTTGAGTTAGTCAGCGTAGAGTAGAGTAGAGTTTCATAAATTATTACCAGAAGTGCCTAGTTTGTTTATTTTATCAGAATGAAGTATAAATTTACTAGCTGACCCAACGAACTTCGTATCGCCATAAAAATATGGGTGGTAAAGGGTGAAAGTTTTGTATTGTATGTATTTTTTAATGCCACATTATATGAAGGGGTATGAATAATAGATAGGAGCCGATTCTCAGACCTACCGAATATGCATATAAAATTTCATAAAAATCGGTCACGCCATTTCGGAGGAGTATGGTAACTAACATTGTGACACGAGAATTTTATTTATAAGACTAGCGGCCCGCCCTCGCTTCGCTTCGGTGTAGAGCTGAAGTGTAGACTTCAGTTTTTGTTCTCAGGCTTGTATTATACACAATGACATTCATTTATGATTCTTCTTATACCTGCATGCAAAGTCTCAGCCCGATCGGTTTACAATTGACAAAGTTTCATACAAACTTTCATTCCCTATTTTATCCCCTTGGGGGTAGAATTGATCAAAACCCTTTCTCAGCGGATGCCTACGTCCTAACAACTACCTGCATGACAAATTGCAGCCCAATCCGTCCAGTGGTTTGTTTGCTGTGCGTTGATAGATCATTATGTCAGTTAGTCTATGAGTTTTATATATATAGATAAACAAAACAATATCTATGGATACTAACTGGTGTTAGTCTATAATAGCAATTATGCAGTTCAATATTGTGTTTAACATGATAATTTATTCATTAATTGCTGCAACTGTCCCCTACTAAACACCGTGACGAGAAAGGTCGTCAACCCGGTCGCATCTTGGAGTAAGTACCAATCCGGCAGAGATAGAAACCGTTTGTGCCGTCATGCTTCATCGCTACTGCATAGAATGAGATAAACTGCTTTTTCACGTTGACAAAATTTTTTCGAATATTGAAACTGGTACATCCCAATTCCCAACGATTGGAAAGCAGGCGTAAAGTACCACTTTCACTTTCAAGGTTCCGTACCTTGAAACAAATAGACTGCTCATTAATTATTTGACTGTCCGTTTGTCGAGACAATTTTTCTCAGAAATATCAGACTAAGTTATCAAATACTCAAGTCTGCAATCCCTTGTCCTAAGTCAACGCAAATTACGAATTTTAACATCTAGCAGTTAGTTGCTTAAAAAATAAAAATATTAATGGTTTATGCTTCACTAGTGGGCCGCCCTCGCTTCGCTTTGGTGTAGACTAAAATTCTTGTTTTCAGGCTTGTATTATACACAATGACATTCATCTATGATTCTTCTTATGCCTGCATGCAAAGTCTCAGCCCGATCGATTTAAAATTGACAAAGTTTCATACAAACTTTCATTACCAATTTTATCTCCCTGGGGGTAGAAATGATCAAAATCCTTTCTTAGCGGAGGCCTACGTCATAGCATCTACCTGCATGCCAAAGGAGATTGCTCAAATTGGCCCAAATGCACAAAAAATATTGACATACACGGTAATTCTTGGCGTAATTTATAATTTAATTTACAGTCATTAGATTTCAACGGACCTATGTTTAATATATTTACTTTAAAAAGGACTTTTAATTTTACCGGTTTGGTATTTTTAATGGCTATGGGTGTAGTAACATTCAGCCAAAGACTGATCGAAGTTGTTTGTATAACATAAAAACAAATCTATTTTGTAAAGAGCGATAAAATAAATCATTATTTTTATTACGCTGTGGTATTAATATCCACAACTATATTATCATTTTCACTAGATGCAAATGTGCTCAGACAATTATTATAGATGGTAGGCGACATCATAAAGGCTATTGCCATACATTTTTCGTCAAACACCTCCATAAACACATTATAATCTGTATATATGTTAGACTTTATGGTATCTATCTTTGGGCCTACGTTCCCTGACTATAAATTAATAAATAAAAAAAAATTATAAGATGTGATACACTAAAAATCTAAAATATGGTTATCTTAAAAACATAACAAAAATAATGAAGCTACTGAATATATGGC